TGTGCAAGCCCCTGGGTTCAACCCCCAGTACCATAATTAAAAGAAAGACAGACTCCAAAGACTAGCTAGCCTCTTCCACCTATGAGAAAGTAAGTCCTCACTAGACACTTAACACACTAGCATCTTGATCTTGAATTTCCAAGTCTTTAAAACTGAGAAATAAATTTGTTGTTTACAAGCCTATTCCTAGCAATTTATTGTAGCAGCCAAAACAGACTAAGTCAAGCATTTATTTTGCCTTTCTTATACAAGCTGTACCACTAAATAACCATATGATAAGAAGAAATTTATCTTCATGTTTCCCAAATAATAAATGAAAAAATTCATATTATATTCCTAATGAATTAATAGATCTTGGCAGTAAGCATCAAATGGCTACTATCATCACAAAAAGAGACATTATGTGCCTCCTACTTTGATTACATAAAATTCCATTCATTCACTACTATTGAAATAGATTTCTCAAAATGAAACTGAATCTGACAAGCTTCTGGACACAGTTGTCAATTTGCAGGAAATACCAATGACGGAATAACATGTTAAAATTACACCATGAAGATATAACAGCTAAATCCAGACTATGAAAACTCTATAGGGCAATCTATTTTCTTTCACAATAACAACAAAATCAGGAGAAAGAAATCTATAATCAAAAGAAACCAGTATCAAGTAATCGTATTGTATAACTTCATATGGATTCTAATTCAAATAACTGAACTATATAAGTACACACATATATACAAATAAGAAAAACTGGAAGACTTCCAGAATAGTTCCTACCCCTCCAAGTCTAACCAGCCAACAGGTGGTACCCAGCAAGAATAACAGTACCTTATTATGGTACTATTTCTTTTTTTTTAATATTTATTTTTTTAGTTGTAGTTGGACACAATACCTTTATTCCATTCATTTATTTATATGTGGTGCTGAGGATCAAACCCAGGGCCCCACGCATACTAGGCAAGCGCTCTACTGCCAAGCCACAATCCCAGCCCTTTTTTTTTTTTTTAATATTTATTTTTTTAGTTGTAGTTGGACATAATATCCTTATTTTATTTATTTTTATGTGGTGCTGAGGATCGAACCCAGGGCCTCACATGTGTTAGGTGAGCACTCTACCACTGAGCCACAACCCAAGCCTGGTACTGTTTCTTAAAGACAACCACCAGTGTCATCCCATTAAGTAAATTATATCAGGGCCCTGCCATCCTAAAAAAGTGAGCAGCACATCCTCACAAGAGAGCCCCTGAACAGCCTACAGTTGAATCACTATCTTGGAGGAATCTGCAAAGATGGGGACTATCCTTCAGGACAGAATATATGCACTAAATCAATCTTTTTGAAGTATTGCTCCCTCGGGGCAAAAAAAAATGAAAGCCGAGTGACCCTACTTATTATCACTCCCAATGACCCACTCAGATATTTCCAATCCTATGACTTTATGCCTGCAAGGTTAAAGGTCTGGTCCTGAAGGGGAGTATACTTTTGGCAGGAGACACAACAAGGACATGGTCAGAACTGCAAGCCACAGCTATCACCAAGGCATTTTAAACTTTTTGTTCTCAGAAACTAGAAGGAAAGTGCTACCATTTTTTGTTTTTTGGGGTACTGGGGATTGAACTCAGGGGCACTCAAACACTGAGCCACATTCCCAGCCCTATTTTGTATTTTATTTAGAGACTGGGTCTCACTCAGTTGCTTAGCACCTTGCTTTTGCTGAAGCTGGCTTTAAATTTGTGATCCTCCTGCCTCACCCTCTCAAGCTGCTGGGATTACAGGCACGTGCCATCACATGCTACCATCTTGACAGGGTAACTGGTTAACAGAAATAACTACAATAAGAAGCAGCCAGGTAATCTACTTGGGTGCTATCAGTTCCCTGTTGCTGTTGATACTAATTACAACAAATTTAGTGGCTCCAAGTAACATTAATTTATTACTTTACAGTTCTATAGGAGAGAAGCTGGATATACCTTAGGGGCTAAATTAAAGTTGCATCCCTTTCTGGAGGCTCTAGAATGGAGTCTGTTTCCTAGTCCTTCAGGAGTTAGCAGCACAATCCCACTCAGCATAGGACTGAGAATTCTACTTTCTTGCTGGGTATCACCTGAGGGACACCCTTAAAAACTACATAACTATCCAGTTGTTGATAGTTTCAAACATTCCAGAACCAACAAGTTACCACAGATAGGAAAGGTTTTCTGCTTTTAAAAACACATGAGATTAGAATTAGGCCCAATTTGAAAATCCAGGCTTATTTCCCCATCTCAAAGCCCTCAACTTCATCCAAGTCTGTGAAGTCCCTTTTGCCACTTCAGGCAACATTATTCACAGGTCCCAAGAGTTAGGAAATGGACATCTTTGGGGGATGATTATTCTGCTCACCACAGATACAGCTTGCCTCTTCCTCCCACAGCTATAATGTAAAGCTCTTGTGTAGCAAGAGAAGGGTGTGAATCAAAGGCTCCAAACACTTCAGTAATGAAAATTAGGTTTCCACCACTAGGTAAGCAACCAAGACCTATCATTGTGATAAAAAGATTAAAGGAATTTAGTATTTATAGCCCCAAGACAAACTGCAGCAATAGGGTTTGTAATTAGTTGCATGTTTCTCCTAATGATTCCCCTTAGGAATCATTAACACTCATGGGGAAAGTAATCTGCTTGAACAGAGCTGTATAACACCCACATCTCTTTTCAAGGGAACAATCTACAGGTAACTGAGTGCCTTTGGAACTAGTGTCACACTGATACCATACTACTACCAATGACAAAAGGAAAAAGTACTATAGGCCATTTCTTCTAACATGTAGCCTTTGGAAACTCTATTAGCAGGACCAGATATTTCTCAGTGATGTGATAGTCTGAGGTCCTTCCTACCCATTCTTCCTATTCCTAAAAGCTAAGACCTTGGTGAACAGTAGCTATATGTAGACCTCCCAAAACTCACTGTAGGCAGATTTGCAATATCTAGGGGACAACAGATTCCTGGCTACTAAGAGTAGATTCCCTGGCCTCTGTACCCCAGATGCTAACAAATCTAAATCTAAAGTCACCTTGAGTCAGCTATATGCTAATGGCCTATATATCACTTTTAAAAACAATAATGGGATCTCTCTAACCATATTGCAAGAACAGTCATATTCTTGTTAAGTTGGGTAAGGTTTGCCTTTGTGGGTAAATTGAAAAGGACTAGGAAATCAAAAGCACAGGGAACCACCAACTGAAAAGCATCACTATTAAAGAGATGTTTACCTTCTCATGGCCCTTCAGAGTCATTTTTGACTGTTCTCTGAATATAGAGTTTAGATAGTGTGACTGGATAAACTCTTCTATGCCCCTTACTTCAGTTCTTAAAGACACTAACCTTTTATCCTCAACACAATTATTTTCTAGCATAGGTACCTTAACCCTAACCGAACATCTATCTTTAGCCTACTTTCCCAACGTTCAGCATCAAAATGAAATCCTGGCGGGCCAGGGATATACCTCAGTAAGACTGTGTTGCCTAGCACACGAGGCCCTGGGTTCAATCTACAGCACAAAAAATAATCTTAAAGGCTGGGGCTGTAGCTTAGTGGTAGAACACCTGCCTGGCCCTGGGTTTGATCCTCAGCACCACAAAATGAATAAAGATATTGTGTCCATCTACAACTAAATAAATCTTTAAAAAAATAACTAACCTTGACCATTTGTGTACATTTTGGCCCTAGAGAATTCTTTTCTCCCCAGTCCTGGGGATTGAAACCAATACCTTGCACATACATGCTAGGCAAGTGTTCTTCTACTGGGCTATGTCCCCAAACTATTTTTTATTTTGAGACAAGATCTCACTAAATTGCTGAGGCTGGCCTCAAACTTGCAATCCTCCTTCCTCAGTCTCCCAAAGGGCTGGGACTATAGATGCGTGCTACAGTGCCCTGCAACTCTAGAGAATGACAACCAGGCGCAATCTGTGAGAAAAAAAAAAGGGAGTAGGGGTTAGGGAATCTAAATAGAGAGTGAAAAAAAAAAAAAAGGAGATATTTTATAACTGATTGGCTTTCATAAGGAAGTTCCTCCCCCTTTCCTTTACTTCCAGTTTTTACCTTATTCTTGAAACCAAACTGAGGTACTAAAAATTTATTTATTCCCCAGGGCAGAACTATACCTGCCTCATTTTCCATCTCCCAAAGACAGCTCCCTAATAAGACATACATTCAAATACAAACAAAACACGCATTCAATTCAGGCAACTGTTTTACATTTTCATAACATTTTAACATTTAATAGAAACTATATACAATAATTTTTTACTATATTTTACATAAGATAGCCACTGCAGAAATTTACATAGATTACAAGCAAGATGAATAGTTAAGGTGGGCCCAGTCCTTAACTGTCTCAGGATAAGGATGGGAGTTCACTGGAGAAAGGGTGCAAACTGTTCAATTAAGTGAAGATGAGGAAAAGCTAAACTGTAGGCCTTTAGGTAAAGATAACCAGGCACTGGGGCAACCAATATCTCAACAGCACCATTTATAAAAACAACCCTCACCTAATCATCTATGTGGATTTCTATCTGTGACTTAAGAAATCCCATTACAAAGAATCACTTTCCCCTTTGGCACAGTCCCAAATACTGAATTTCAGAGATAGGTAATCCCTATCTTCCTTGCCCATGGTAGAAAGAAACACAACTTTGACACTACTGGCCCATCCCCCTAAGTATGGTTTTATTTAACTACGACATTCTATAACCCAGAACAAAACAACTGGGTTGCCCCTGTTTAGTGAGAGATGATCAGAGATACTTGTTTGAAGAATGGGAAAGTGAAATCCACGGAAGTCATATGGTTCCCAGAACAAACTATCAACTGCTAGGAGTGGATTCTGGTTTTCCATTTGCAGTAGCCAATCCACTTTGAAGCAATGGTGCACAGGCTTTCTCAGAATTTCGAGATCCCTGGGACCTGTAACCATCTCCAACCATCTGCATCTGGCCCTATTAAAGAAATAAAGGTACTTTGATTAGTAAAGCATTCACTGGAAGGGAGGATGGGGAGGGGAATCAGGAATGACAGGAGAATGAATCAGATATAAATTCCCTATGTTCACATACGAATACACAAACAGAAATAACTAACTCCACATCATGTTCAACCACAAAAATTGTATCCTACTTAGAGTAAGTTATACTCCATGTATGTATAATATGTCAAAATACATTCTACTGTCATGTATATCTAAGAAGAACACATAAAATTAAAAAAAAATTTTAAGTCTCATGAAGGAAAAAAAATCATTCTCGATGCTCTGAAACCTTAATTATGAATCTATCAATTCCCATTTATATTCAGTACATTAAAACAACTCTGGGAGCTGCTCTTCCCAATACTGCCTAATCTTAAAGAGTCTGAAATCATTACTTGGCATTCTTGAAGCTCTCCCAATGGAAGAGACAACCGTGGATTGTTTCTTCCAAATGAAACAGCCATTCTCGACTAAGGTCCCAGAACAGCCAATGAACCATAGAAGATAAGTTTTTTAGGCCTCTGCTTGAAACCAACAGCTATAGTGTAACTGCTGGTCTTCAGTCAGGGCCACTGGTATCCAACCTCAGAGAAAGAAGCCAAATCACACTACTGGTGCTTATTCTGCAATGAGAATAATTCCAGTAATGAACTCTCCCTTAAACGGCACAATTTAGCCAAGCATAGTTGTGCACATCTGTAACTTGGAAGGCTGAAGCAGTAGGATCCCAAGTTCGAGGTTAATCTTAGCAACTTTAGCAAAACCCTATCTCAAAATAAAATCTGGGATGTAGGTCAGAGCACGCCTGGGTTCAATCTCCAGTATCAAAAAAAAAAAAAAAAAAGAAAAAAATTTACTTACATTTCTTGTCTTAACCTTTCATTTAAAAAAATTTATGTCCTACCCTCAATATGAAAACTAGGGACCATTATTCTAAGGTCCATCTAGAAAATTGGAGCAAAATGGCACTAAGAAGCAGAAAAAGGCTTCTTTCATTCTCTCATTTATTCATTTGCAGTTCTGGGGATGAAACCCAGGGCCTCACATATTATAAGGAATATAATATGTGACTGAGCTACACCCAGCCTCAAAATGACATTTATTAAAAATACCTTCCTTGTATGGTATTCATTAAACAAAAGCTATTTGGGGGCAGGCATCTTTATACTCTACTTGTGATGAGACCCACACTCCCTGGAGTACATGTTAGCAAACAAGGATCGCTTTGCCTGACCAGGTCACTATATGATGGAAGGCTAACTGGGATTGTTCTTCACTTGCCAAGATATCCACTGGGCCTTCAGCAATTTCTTTGACTGAATGATCTTCAAGGGTTAATGAAGGATCAAAAAGCAAGGGTGAAGGAGGGCACTGCATACCATCACCAACAACATCCAAGTCCTACAAAACAAAGAGAAAACCCTATTAGCAATACTAAGGGTATCAATAAACTGAAGTTGGCATATTTTTCAGCAAACCTCAAAGCAATTCTGAGGTCCCTCCCTTACCCCTTGCCTACCAGAATGTTCAACAAATGAGACAAGATCCAAAAGCACTGAGAATTTTTTCTTGCTGCTGATTATGAAGCACAGACCAGTATAGTAGCTTTAAAAAAGCAAATTCCTAGGAAAATTCATAGAAAGTAGAACAGTGGTTACCAGGGGCTGAGGGAAAGGGGAAGAGGAGTGTTATTATTTAAAAGGTACAGAATTTATGCCAGGGTTGATGGAAAAATTCAAGAATGGTTGTACAACACACTGAACATTGTTAATTAGCACTGTACACTTAAGAACAGTTAAAACTAAATTTTGTTATATATATTTCACCATAGTAAACAGTATTCAAAAAAAAAAATATTCCAAGGTTACTGGAGTCAACATTTAAGTTAACCAGTGATGAATCTAATGATAATCAGCAGAAGCATAAATTAAAATTAAATATTGCTTTAAAACTTTGGGCAATATGAGATTGTATGATGAATGTCCAAAGAGCCACAATGCATGCAAGTGAAAGAGAGGAAAAGGGAGAGTAGGAAAGGAGGGAACAGGAAACTCAAAAGACATCTGAAATATTATTCTGATTAAAACCCTATCCTCACAGAATAATTCATTTTAAATCTAACACAGTTCAATTGTTCTGTTAAAAAAAAAAAAAAGACATTGCTAAACATGGTAATGTACACCGTAATCCCAACAACTTGGGAGGCTGAGGCAAAAGGATCCCAAGTTTGGGGATATAGCTCAGTTGGTAGAGTGCTTGTCTTGTATGCAGAAGGCCCTGGGTTCAATCCCCAGCACCACAAAAAAAAAAAAAAAGAAAAAGAAAAAATCCAAGTTCAAGGCCAACCTGGGCAACTTAGCAAGACCCCATCTCAAAACAAAAATAAAAAGGACTGGAGATATAGCTCACTGGTATAGCTCTTGCCTAGCATGCCTAAGACCCTAAGTTCAACCCCAAATACCATAAAACAAATATCAGAAAAAGAAATATTCTAAACCACGCTTCTTCCAAATGAACTGGCCATTCCCACTGAGATACTGAATAGCCAACAGACCAAGGGAAGTTATCTCTTGGCTCCCATTTGAAACCAATAGCTACAGCAAACATTGGTCTTGATTCAGGGCCTAAGGCATGGCAAAGGTTCAAGTGATACATCAACCTAACTTCCATGCCACTGCTAGGAATCTAACGCTAAATTCCCCCTCCCCCATAAAAATACCCAAGGGTTGGTACTCCCTGGTACCCTTTATAGAGGTATGATGCTTTTAACTATCTAGCTTCATGAGAAGCTTAGTTTATGCTTTAAAATAAGTCAAACAATTTGCAGTCCTTTCCCCTTTTGTTGATGTGCCAATCAGAAAGAAAGAAGAAAGAAAGAAAGAAAGAAAGAAAGAAAGAAAGAAAGAAAGAAAGAAAGAAAGAAAGAAAGAAAGAAAGAAAGAAAGAAAGAAAGAAAATAACATCTTCAAAATTGAGGGGAAAAAAAAGAAGTGAAGAATCTACCATACTTAAAAACTGCTCAATCTAAAAGAACAAAGAAAAGAAGAAGTTCACTAGCTAACATTCACTTCAGATTATTGGAAACTTCTGACTATCCACAGAAACCAGTGTTCTCACACATTAGGACCATAAAATGTTTTCTATAATTCTTTTACTAAACACAATCATTATATAAATAATTAGCTTAGAGCAAGGCATAGGGGTACACACTGGGAGGCTGAGATAGGAGGACTGCCAAGTTTAAGCCCAGCCTCAGCAACTTAGGCCCTAAGAAACTCAGCAAGACCCTAACTCAAAATGAAAAATAAAAAGGGCTGGGATGTGGCTCAGTGGTTAAGTGGCCCTGGGTTCAACTCCAAAAAAAAAAAAAAAAACTCTAAAAAGGGCTGGAAATGTAGCTCAGTGGTAGAGCACCCCTGGATTAAATCTCCAGTGAAGAGAAAAAAAAGTAGCTTGGAATTAAAAGAAACCACTTAAGCAATAAAGTAAAAAGGATCCAAGTCTCAAGCTAATAATGGAATGGGAATGTTTTCAAAGGGAAAATAAGTACAGGAAACATTTTTCTTAACATATAGAACACGTAGTCCTTTACCAATTAAAATTGGGAAAAGGAACCTAAAATAAGAGAAGATCAACAAGTGACATCAGCAACATTGTAGAAGCAGCAGCTCTGGCTCTCCGTCCACCCACAAGTGCATCACATAAAAGCTCTACTCATGGGATCAATTCCCTCTGAGAGAAAGCTGGAGTAGCTGTTTGCTCCTACCCACTGGGCAATTTGAGAAAACAATCACATGTAAGACAGGACAGGAAAAGAAGAGGAACATGAGGCCAGGAGCCCAGCTCTAGGCACAGCACCTAAAACTGGAAAAGTAATCCCCAACATTCTGGCTTCTCCCTATGGAGAAGAGGATTTGGGCTTCACGCTGGGAGCAGAGGAGAATACACACAAGTTTCTCCAGATCACAGGGGAAAAAATCAAGAGACTTAAACAGAGCACAGCACTTTCAAGGACTTCATTCCCCAGGAGCAGTGTAGAGAGGTTACTTAAAAAACAATCCATTTTCCCCTTATATCAAGCATCTAACTTTACACCTAGGAAGTTTAGGGACTGCATCCTGAACCTCCTAGCTCTGGAAGCAGACTTTCATATGTGCCTCTCTAGACCATGGAGAATGGGGATAAAGTGGTGGTTTTATACAGGCACACAAGCACTTTCAAGAGCTTCTTCTCCCAAGAGCAGTGGGGGAAGGAGGGGATAAAAAGCAAATCCTATTTCTCCTGTGAAGGACTCTATGTAGGCATCAAATGCCCCAACTTTAACAACTACCTCCCCAAAAGACTCCATTCTAAATCTCTTAATCTTTGTGAATAGAAAAAACCAGGCATGTACAAGTCTCCCTAGGTCAGAGAATAGAGGTGATTTTAAGTGAGCAAAAGGGGCAGAGTGACCAGCAAAAGTCATGCCTGACCAATTTGATGATATATATATTTGGGGGAGGGTGGGTACCAGGGAATTGAACTCAGGGGCACTAGACCACTGAGCCACATCCCCAGCCCTATTTTGTATTTTTTTTTAATTTATTGTTTAGTTGTAGTTTGACAAAACACCTTTATTTTATTTATTTTTATGTGGTGCTGGGGATTGAACCCAGGGCCTCACATGTGCTAGGCAAGCACTCTACTGCTAAGCCACAACCCCAGCCCCCATTCTGTATTTTATTTAGAAACAGGGTCTCACAGAGTTGCTTAGTACCTCATTGTTGCTGAGGCTGGCTTTGAACTAGCAATCCTCCGTTTCAGCCTCCCAAGCTGCTGGGATTACAAGCAGATGCTATCACACCCGGCCTTGATGATATATTTTTAAATATTTTAAAATTAAGATTTCTGGGGCTGGGGATGTGGCTCAAGCAGTAATGTGCTCGCCTGGCATGCGCGGGGCGCTGGGTTCAATCCTCAGCACCACATAAAAATAAAATAAAGATGCTGGGTCCACCAAAAACTGAAAAATAAATATTAAAAAATAAAATAAAATAAAAAGATTTCTTAATTGTCAGGAAATAGCCTATAATATCTCACAATCATTATTAATTTGTTTAAATATTCACTAAAATAAGCAAATATCCATCTACAACTACAAAAAAATAAAAAGAAAGAAAGAAAGAAAGAAAAGAGCCTGGGGCTGTGGCTCAGTGGTTAAGACCTCTGGATTCAATCCCTGGTACCAAAAACAACAAAAAAATAAAGAAGTGTGGGAAAAGTATATAACATTTTGTTTTGTTTTATTTTTGTAATGCTAGAGATTGAACACAGGGCCTTCAGCATTCTAGATATGTACTGTACCACTGAGCCATATCCCAGTCCAGAAGTACAAAATATTTATGTGTGTGTGCGCGCACATGTCTATATATAATACCATATAATACACAAACACACATATACATATATATGCACTAGGTGGTCAAAAACAGTGGTTTTTGACTCAGTGGTTGAGTGCTTGCCTAGCATATGCAAGGCCCTGGGTTCAATCCCCAGTACTGCAAAAAGTAAAAGAAAAACCAAAAAGAGGTTAAAGGGGAAAAGCAAAAAAGTCAAAACAGAAATGACTATAGAAATTATTACCAAAATAAAAATTAACAGCCTAGTACATGTGTATTCTACAAAACACATGTGCTAATTTCTACCTGTGTACATAAGAGATTTTGATTATACAGTGCTTTTTATTAGGTGATTAAACCTTACAAACCTGTTCATATTACTTAAAACATTTTTAAAAGACAACACCTCTCTAGGTTTTCTTGAAATACAAAATGAAGTGAGCAAAACTCTGTCCTTATCAACCTGAGGCTATCATTTAATCTCTTCAAAATAATCTTGGGGCTGGGGTTGTGGCTCAGCAGTAGAGTGCTTGCCTAGCATGTACGAGGTCCTAGGTTCAATCCTTAGCACCACATATAAATAAATAAAAAAATAAAATATTTTAAAATAATAATAATAGTAATAATAATCTCATTGGCATTTTGAGAAACAGTGGAATACAATCTCTGAAGTCTCTTCCTAGCCTCATATTCTATGAAAGAAACTTTTAAAAAAGGCAATTATAAGCTCATGCACTAGCACATACCTGTAGTCCCAGAATTCAGGAGGGTGAGGCAAGAGGATCTCTTGAGCCCAAGAGTTCCTAAGACAAGTCTGGGGTACAGACTACAGACTCAAAAAAAAAAACTACCAAGTGGTTTAGTTTTTGTTTTATTTGGGGTTTTGTTGTTGTTATCGTTTTTTGTATTCAGTATTGAACCCAGAAAATAGCCATAATAACATCTCACAATGATTAATTTGTTTAAATATTCACTAAAAAAGAAACAAGAGTCATCCTTAAACATACTAGAGGAATGTTTACCACTGAACCACGTTCCCAGCCCTTTTTATTTTATAAACATTTATATTTTAGTTACAGGTAGACAAATTATCTTTATTTTATATTTATGTGGTGCTGAGGTTCGAACCTAGTGTTTCACACATGCCAGGCAAGTACACTACCACTGAGCCCCAGCCCCCTTTATTTTTTGAGACAGGGTCTTCACTGAGTTGCTCAGGGCCTTGTTAAGTCTCTATTGCTAAACCAGCCCTTGAATTTGTGATCTTCCTGCTTCAGCCTCCCAAGATGTGAGATTACAGGTGTGCCCCATCCCCAACACATCCAGCCCTTTTTAAAAATTTGAGGACCTCATTAAATTTTCCTGGATGGTTTGAAACTTGCAGTTCTGCCTCAGCCTCCCAAGTAGCTGGGATTACAGGTGTGGGCCACCACACCATTTGTGCTACCTTTCCTGTATTGTGGAATCTCAACCTGAAGGGTGTTAGATTTCACCTAACACTCAAAACCAAGAGACAACCAGAACTTCCGGTTTATAAGTGGTTCAGAGTGTCAATATAAAAAGTTTGCTTTCTTTTGTCTAAATAGAACAAGAAGCTTAAAAAATAAGCATACTCCAAAGGATATATAGAGAGAGAATTGGAGAATTGAAAGTGTGTCCTCCCAAAAACTTGTACATCAATGTTCCATAACAGAATATTCCGGGGCTGGGGATGTGGCTCAAGTGGTAGCGCGCTCGCCTGGCATGCGTGCGGCCCGGGTTCGATCCTCAGCACCACATACAAACAAAGGTGTTGTGTCCGCTGAAAACTAAAAAATAAATATTAAAAAATTAAAAAAAAAAAAAAACTTTAAAAAAAAAAAAAAGAATATTCCTTAAATGCCAAAAAGTAGAAACAGCTCAAATGTCCATCAACCTGGTGGATTAAAAAAATGTGTTATGGCAACATAATGGATTAATTTTGCCACAAAAATGAATGAGGTAAAGCTGGGTGGAGTCGAGTGGTGCACACCTATAGTCCCACCTACTTGGGAAGCAGAGGCAGGACTGCAAGTTTGAGGCCAGACTTAGGAACTTAGCAAGACCCTGTCTCAAATAAGGACTAGGGCTGTCTGTAGCTCAGTGGTATAATGCTTGCCCCAGTATGCATGAGGCCCTAGGTTCAATTCCCAGTACCAAAAAATAAAAAAGAAAGAAAGAAATGAACTATTAATATACACACTACAATATAAGTGAACCTTAAAAACATATGTTAGGGGATACCAGGATACAAGCTTTGGCCCCCTTCTCCCTCCCAGGAGAAGTCTATGTTACCCTTTAAAAAAAAAAAGAAAAAGAAAAAAAAAAACCCTGCTTTATATGCTTAAAAAAATTATGCTAAATGAAAAAAGCCTGGCACAAAAGTTTCAGATTTATATGAAATGTCCAGAAGCAGCAAATTTACAGACAAAATGTGTATTAGTGGTTGACAAAGGATTGGGGAGGGCAGAATGAAGAGTTAGCTTTCTTTCTGGGATGATAAAAATATTCTGAAATTAGGTAGTGACAATTGGCTACATGTGGATATACCAAAGGGGGGGAAATCCTGTTATCATATATTTTGAAAGGGAACACTTATAATGTATGAATTTTATCTCCAAAAAAATACGGAAAAAGCAGGCTGGAAAAAAAAAAAAAAAGGTAGAAAGTCTCTTAATGAATGTTAACACACAAATACAACCATACATTTATCACTTCAAAAACTTTTTTTTATCAGTTCTCCTGACCACAACAGACTAACTATTCTCACCATTAATAAATACGGCCTTGTCTCAAGGGCCAATCAGAGCAGAGCTTCTCTAACTTACATCACTGAACTCCAGTGGTAAACTCTCAGTGGGCTGAAGCTCAGCAGCACTCAAGTACAGATCCATGGGGCCGGCTTCCAGATCGTCTGGCACAGACAGTACCTGCTCGGGCTTATACATCTGAGGAGGCAACTGGAAGTGCAGTGGACAGCAGGGATCCTCAGAGAGGCTTACAGGAACTGGTTTGTTGCAAGGTACCTCTTCAGATCCCTGGCAGCATTTGAAGAGAACCTGATTCGTATCCTGACAAATATCTGTAGAAAAACGGTCAAGGGAAATATAACAACAACTATCGGAGGTACAAAATATAGTAGAGGTGACAATACATTTCATACAGAAAACCAAATGCAGTTAGTAATTTTTAAAGTTACTTCTCAAAGTGAGTGGCATTTCCTAACATTTAATTCTAGCTCTACGAGTAATTTAAAACCAACAAGTCCCCAACCTCCTTTTCAGGATCCTGGTCACTTAAACTAAACATACTAATCCTGTTCTCCCCATGACAATGCTAAGCAAGTAGTAATAACACTCCTAGGAACATAAACCTACTCAGAAGAAACAAGGGATAGTAAAAGCAAATAGTTTGCAGAAGCCCCTACCAACCCCTACAATAATCAAGATATACAGTGTGGTTTCTGCTGTTAAGAAGAGTAGCTTGGGTCTAGGGATATAGCTCAGTTGGTAGAGTGCCTGCCTCATATGCACAAGGCCCTGGGTTCAATCCTCAGCACCACAAACACACACAAAAAGTGGCTAAGTTTGCAAAAAAAATTTTTAAAAAAATTGCACCTTGTTTTTAATATGAGAAATTCTTTTAAACTAGCACTGCATTAAGGAAAACAGAAATTCTACTACTAATATTTACTAATTAACACATCGAGAGGAAATAATAAATTTCCATGGCTTTTTTTTTTTAAGAGGATGAAAGTACATGAGAAATCCTCTCATGATCTTAAAAAGAGTAAGACAATACTGCTTATGAGGGACCATGGAAAAGAACTCCAGGAACAACACTCCAAGAGCTCTACAATAACTTTTGTTAAGGGTAAAGCAGAAAGGGCTATATTTCCAAGTTGGCAAAGAATCAAAATTTAAATCATGAGCTAGACATAGTGGTGCACATCTGTAATCCCAGCAAGAGGCTGAGGCAAGAGGATGATAAGTTCAAGAACAATCTCCGAAATTTATTGAGACCCTATCCCAAAGCAAAAAACAAAAAGGACTAGAAATGTAGCTCAGTGAGCACCCCTGGATTCAATCCCCAATACCAATGTGGGGGGGGGGATCATGATTAGATAATAAATTTCAAGTTCAGTTACTCTATAAAATACATTTCATGCAAGTGTTACCATTTCTTAAAATCTTAAAATGTGGTTATTTCCCCTAAATTAATAAACAACATTGTTTTAAACCTGAATATTTTTAACTAGAAAATACAATTTTCTTTAAACTGATTATACCAGGATTATTAAATCATGGATAATTTTCATCTCAAATATTCTAAGATAATTTTAAAAATTAAAAACATCTATTGGGAGGCTTAGGTAGGATGATCACAAGTTCAAAGCCAGCCTCACCAACTTGGTGAGACCCTGTCTCTAAACAAAATAGAAAAAAAAAAAAATCTAATGTACATTATGATTTTTTAAACCAAATAAACCTTCTGGAATAAAGCCATTTCTCTTTGGGCATGGTGGCACACACCAGTAATCCCAGCAACTCAGGATTACAGGAGGCAAGAGAATCTCAAATTCAAGGTCAGCCTTATTAACTTAGGTCCTGACCCAAAATATAAAATAAAAAAGGCTGGGAATATAGCTCTATGGCAATGTATCCCTGGCTTCAATATCCCAGTACCAACAGTAACAAAAAAAAAAAAAACTTTCTTTCCAGCCATACTTGGAAATCGTTTAATTCTATGCCAGTAGTTTCACACTTGTGACAGTACTGGCACTATGGGCTGGTAAGATGTAGATGTAGAATGTTTAGTAATATCATCCACTAGCTGTCAGTAGCATTTCCACCTCTGGCCCAACCAAAATTTTCTCCACACATTGCCAAATGGAGAACAAAACAGCCCCCTGTTGAGAATCACTACTCAAAAGGACAGTAGATAGTACAAAGTAAATATAATACTTATTGAATAAACCTAAGAACCAAATAAGAACAGATTTGCACGATTATGAGCTTTAGAAAACCTAAGCAATATGTCTAATGGGCTAAAGAAATTCAATTTTAAATTATTAATATTTAAAAACCTTAATTTGCTAAATATTTCAACTAGAATTTTTCCCATTTGACTTCAATGGACTTTCACAAAAGTCTCTTATCTATTTAATTCCACAATAGTCTAGAAACCGCCCCCATTCTCCTCCACCCGCTTTCCTTTCAGACAAGGACAAGAGAGATAAAAAGGGAATGATTGACCTACAACTAGAGTCTGGGTCCTTCACTCAGTCCAGTGCTGTCTCCATTAGACCAGAGTAAAGAGTTAACAGGTCACCAATGGCAGTCGCATCTTCCTCTGGGATGAGGACTTAAGGAAGGGTAAGTAACTTAGGAACTATGGAAAGGAAAAGAGCATATAAGGAAAAATACTTCCTTTGTTAAATACAGTTCCTCTTCAACTTTGCTTTTTAAAATATTTATATCCTAACATACTATTTGAGTACAGCATTATAAGAAATGTCAAAAATAGTCTTTAATATCTATAAACTGGGTTTTCTCTACTAAATTCAAGTTTCCTTTTAAAAAAATTATACAGAAACAGAAAAAAGGATATTCATACCATGCAAAAATGATTATATTACATTCCTTCTCAGTATTTAGTACCATGCAGTTAAAACATAATCTACAGAAATCTATATCCTATTTTTCTCACTATAATTTTCTCTTCGCTCATAAATTGTTAAATGTTTAGTGCAAAAAATCTGTTGTGCCACAATTTATTTCCCTATTCCTCATCTCTAAACAAGGCTGTCTCCAATTAGACTTTGGGGTGGGGTAGGGAGACTAGGGACTGAATTCAGGGGCACTCAACCACTGAGGATGAGCCACATCCTCAGCCCAATTTTGTATTTTATTTAGAGACAGGGTCTCACCGAGTTGCTCAGCACCCCTCTTTTGCTGAGGCTGACTTTGAACTTGCAATCCTCCTGCCTCAGCTCCGAAAGCTGCTGGGATAACAGGCGTGTGCCCCTGTGCCTGGCTTAGAATTTTTTTTTGTTTAAGTATTTGACTGCATTTGATTATCTTCTTAAATTTCCAGGGGCAAAAACTGCCTTATCAAAGAATTATTATTTTCGAACTGCTTCACAAAAAGCTTTTATCAATTTATATTCCAACTGGAATATAATTTAGAAGAAGCTCAACTACTTTTGAAATTCACCCACTAATAAAAAAAAAACAACTTACATTTTAAAAATTTTTTTTAGTTGATGGACACAATATTTTTTAATTTATTTTTATGTGGTGCTGAGGATCAAACCCAGTGCCTCACATGTGTGCAGCAAGCACACTACAACCCCAGCCCTAAAATTTACATGTTTATTTTAAAATGTATGTACAAATATCAAAATTAGGTTTTAAATTTTCCTTGTTTTATTTATCTCTTCTGTTTAGAGTGAAATAAACACTAACTATAGGCCATTTCTATTAACCGTCTACAGACAACCTCTGTCCAATTATGTTTTAAGCATTTATCTTTAGTTTCTAATTACTTAGCACAGCATTTTATACATTAATGACAGTAATCCTTTATCAGACATTTACTGCAATAATTAATAAACTGGTAAAATACTTAATAACAATAGTAGCTGGGATATAGGCAGGTGCCATAAATGCTGGCTAAGAAAATACATACCAATTTCCAAATATTTGGTATGTCTCACAAGGCAAATGAAATCCACCAAAATTCATGTTTTTCATGTTTTTCATTTAAAGAGCATATTTAATAAGTGTTTTTATGACAAAAAGTAATTTTTTCAATCAATACCTATAACCAAGATGCAATTTCAAAATCTAATAATAAAGTTTTATAGTCAAATGGTATATGTAGTCCTACAGCAGAATCAAGAGACATGATGAAATTAATTGAAAAAATTAATTAAAAGGAGGAGGGAAAAGATTCCTATTTTTGGAAACAATTAAATTTCTAGTTTAAATGAAGTTAAAAATATTAAAGTTAGGGCACTGATGATACAAATGGATAATAGTTTTAGGAAATTCACAGTGCAGAATCATTCTTTTATTTTGGGTAGAAAACGTGAAGCAAATTTTTTTGGTAATAGATTTAAGAGCATTATAATTGTAATGAACAATTAAATCAGGGATCTAAAGATAAGTATTGTATGGATTACTTTGGAATCCTAGTATTAAGACTACAAATTAGTATTAGCCCACATCTATCACTAATGATTCAAATGTTTCTTTCTAATGAATTGACCATTACATTTCCAAAGTTCTGAAATGGCCAACAGACCATAGAAAGACGTTTCTTTAGGCTCCTGCTTGAAACCAACAGCTTCAACAAACTGCTGGCCTTGATTCAGGGCCAAAGGTTCAAAGGCCTTCAATTAAGCAAATCAGCAAAGATTCTCACTAGCCTTCATCTAACTACAAAATCAGAACCCCAACAGGCAGTTTTAAAAAGATACGGGTAAGGCAGTGTCTGGTCATTGGGAGAGACTGATTGGAACAACGAACATCATCCACAAAGGCCAAGCACCTCTGACTAGAACGAGTGGTATGGGCCTAAAATGAAGAAAAAAGATAAAAAAGACAAACCCACAAAAGAACATACAACCAATTATCATAAGAATACTTAGTTATATAATAAAAGTACCTCCTCAAGGCCAGAAAATTCAATATTTAATAAACTAATATTATGCAGTAAAATAAAATTTAAAACCTTACATACAAAAAAATGAGTCAACATCAATCCCAAATACCCCTTTCCAGATTATACAAGCATAAAACAGTAGTTTTATGGTCTAGAGAGGCACATATGAAAGTCTGCTTCCAGGGCTAGGAGGTTCAGGATGTTAACCTCAATCTGAAAATACCACATGGAAAACTACAGGAATAAACAATTTAAGAGTTTAGAATAATTTTTACACTTATATTGTTACTATTGTCCTATTTTATTGTGGTATTATTGTTAATCTCTTACTGAACATAATTTACAAATTAAACATTATCGTAAGTATATACATATAGGAAAAAACATAACATATAGGTTCAATAGTATCTTTGGTTTCAGGCCTCCATTTGGTCTTAAAACATATCCCTTCATATATGAAAGCAGTAGTGTATAGCTTTCAATCTAATTTGTCCTTTAGCAGCAGAATCCTTTTTTAAACTGTAACCTTATTGGTAGTCTCAACAAATCATAGATAAGAGTGATTGCTTAACTCTTCTTATCAACCTGACTTCCTGACATGCATTTGCTCCTGTTCTTCCACCTTTCTTCCCACTTTTATAAACAAATTCCCAAATTAAAATTTAAAAATAGACTCTTAAGCAACTTAGGCTTAATTTGTGCCTGTTTCTGAAGACTCTCTGGACCAAAGAATTTTGAAATCTATCCCAACCCCTCAATTTGAATACTGAGGCCCAGAAATTAAACTGTCTGTGCAGGCACAGGGCTAGACAGTAGAAGACCAAGACTAGAGTCCATGTTTCCTGGCCCTCAATAAGTACTTTCACTACTAATCCAGTAAGTCAGATTTCAGAGCCAGGATTAGATATAGTGTTTTGCTAATTACTCCAACTCTACAAAGTGAGTAGTATATTAGAGGTATCTTAGAGATATATAGACAAATTACCTGTTGGGCGGCACCATCTGTGGCCAGCATTCTGCGTTCCTTTAGCTGCCTGTGTAGCAAGGCTTCTACTCCATAGCGTTGGCGATACCGTCGAAGACATTTTAATCGCTTTAAGTTCTCTCGTTCTTTGGCCAAAAGTCCCTCTGGGCCAGTAAGGAGACTACTACCTAAAGAATTACAAAAGTAAAAATGTAACTCACAGGGTAACCTATCAAGAATTCTTCTACGGCTGGGCACTGTGGCACACACCTGTAATCCCAGTGGCTTGGGAGGCTGAGGCAGGAGGACTGTGAGTTCAAAGGCAGCCTCAGCCAAAGCGAAGCACTAAGCAACTCAGTGAGACCCTGTCTCTAAATACAAAAATAGGGTTGGGGATGTGGCTCAGTGGTAGCACCCCCCCCACCGCCCCACAAAAAAAAGAATGCTTCAGCAAAGTAACAAAAACAGAGGAATCTTCAACTCAAGATAAGCAGTTTCAACTGCATAAAACTTGCCTAAAGCTTCATGTTCCACTTTGCGATTATGTAAGTATCGACGCTTCTTCTCCTTCAGCAAATGCTGAAGTCGTTTAAACTGATCAATGTACAAAGACTGCAAACGAATCAGCTTCTCCCGCATAATCAGGGCCACTTCTTCAGCCGTGTAGACACCAGCATGTCTGGAATAAAACAAAAAATAAGAAAACACAGTAATAAAACCCAAGCTTAAAAGTAAGATAGTAAACAGGAATATTTTCACAAAATATTTTAACATTCAAGTTGTTATCAAAAGACAACAAAGCTGGGCATAGTGGTACACACCTGTAATCCCAGCGACCCAGAAGGCTAAGGCAAGAGGACTGAAAGTTCAAGGCCAGCTTTACTTGGCGATACCTCACCTCAAAAAAGGCCAAGGATGTAGTTAAGTGGTAAAGAGTCCCTCAATCCTCACCAAAAAAAAAGAGGCACTGGAGTTGTACCTCAGTGGTGGAAGGCTTGCCTGACATCTACAAGACCTGAGTTTAATCATCAGCACCACCAAAAAGAAAGAAAGAAAAATCTCAAAGATCTCACAAAATGGGGAGAGATATTTCCTTGTTTTTCCCTGTTGAGTTTTTGTTGTTGCTCTTGGCTTGTGGTACTGGAAATTCAACCCCAGCCCTTATTATTTATGATTTTGAGACAGGATCTCACACAGTTCCTAAAGCCATGCTGGAACTTAAGATCCTCCCTCAGTCTCCCAAATCGCTGGAACTATAGGCCCCATGCCACCACACTTAGATTGCATGTTTAAACATTAATTTTTTTTTAAATCTACATTCTCATTTAATGACTTAATACAGAAAAATCACTTACTGGTCAGGCAATGAAGAGTAACATAATATAGAATAACCACTTACAATATTCATAATATAATCGTTATAATAGGTTCTACCATTAAGTTCCAAGTTTTCAATTCTGCAAATATCTCAATGAAATTAAAAAGGTGAGCCAGGCGTGGCAGCACACCTGTAATTCCAGCTATCTGGGAGCTGAATCAAGAAGACCACAGGTCTGAGGCAACCCTGAGCAACTTAGTAAGACACTGTCTCAAAATAAAAGCTAAAAAGGGCTGGGATATAGCTCAGTAGTAGAGTGCCTGCCTAGCATATACAGGGCTCTGGGATCAATCCTCAGTACAAATTAAGAAAATAAAAAACTGGATAGTCACATAATCATACTAATTAAACATAAGGAGATATTTAACAACTAACATTATACATATTTAACAACTATAGCCCTAAAAATGCATATATTTATTAAGATGACATTTTTTAACTTTATTTTACTTTTTTTTCTTTAAATGTGGTGCTTAGGATCGAACCCAGTGCCTCACAAATGTAGGTAAGTGCTCTACCACTAAGCCACAACCCTAGTCCCAACATTTTTAATAATATCACTGGGAAAATTAAAGAAAGCCTTATATTTAGTTATCTAATAGTTGAGAATGCTCAGAGCTTTATTTACCCTTTAGTGTGTTTCTACTAGGAGAGACTGACAACTACCTAATACCTTTAACATTTCTGTCTTAAAGAAAATTAACTGATATTTTGATATACGGTATCTTATGAGTAAAACTGACATGAATTTGTCCTTTAGAATCTGATCTAGACTACTATTAACAAAATCATGTTTCTGGGCCTTCAAACTTTAATGTTGCTGGGTACAGTGGTACAACTCAGGAGGCTGAGGCAGGAGGATCACAAATTTAAGGCCAGCTTCTGCAACTTAGACTCTATCAAAATCTATAATAAAAAGGACTGGTATATAGCTCGGTGAGAGAGAACCTGAGTTCAAGCTCAGAACAGGGAAGAAGGGGAAAAAAAAAAAGTGTAGTGTTTAAAGGACACTTTGTGACCTTACAGAGTTATATATCAAAGCAGCAAGTTAGCCATCTAGAATTTAGAAAGCACAGTGGGGCAAAAAAAAAAAAAAAAGAATAGCCAGGCATGGTAGTGCACGCCTATAATCCCAGCACCTTGGGAAGCTGAGGCAGGAGGATTGTAGGTTCAAAGCCAGCCTCAGTAGCAGTGAGGCGCTAAGCAACTCAGGGGACCCTGTCTCTAAATGAAATACCAAATAGGCGTGGGGATGTGGGTCACTGATTGAGCACCCCTGAGTTCAATCCCCAGTACCCAAAAAAAAAAAAGAATAAATGTTTAGTAATAAGTTACCATAGTTAAGAGAATCCTGCTAGAAAACATTCTCTTTCAAACTGCTTACTGAAACTGTCTACGCTAACTGTTCCTAAAAACCTGACTGAGAATGCTCAATAGAACTGGATAAAATTATTCTACTCAGAAAATATAATCCTCAATAACTTCAATATACCACAGAACCCCAAGTAATGGGGGGAAAAAATGCTACTTCAAGAATGAAAGCCCAAAAAAAAAAAAAAAAAAAGAATGAAAGCCCAACAGTCAAAATACATTATCTCTCCCACTGTCTATAGTACTTTTTCCTGGATCATAAAACTGTTAAGAGGCAGATGTCAGGAAAAGAAAAACTAGAGCTGGGAGGAATAGCTCAATGGTAGGCTCTAAGTAAGTTTAATTCCCAGCACTGAAGAAAAAAAAAAAAAATGAGGCCAGGCAAAGTGGCGAAACATGTAATTTCATAAAGGCTCAGGAGGCTGAGGCAGGAGAATTCGAAGTTCAAAGACAGCTTCAGAAACAACTTAGTAAGGCCCTAAGCAACTTAGTGAGATTCTGTCTCAAATTTAAAAAATGAAAAAGGGCTGGGTTGTAGCTCAGCAGTAGAGCACTTGCATAGCAGGTGTGAGGGATTGGGTTCCATCCTCAGCACCACATAAAAATAAATAAAGGTATTCTATAATCCCAGTGGCTCAGGAGGCTGAGGCAGGAGGATCTCAAGTTCAAAGCCACCCTCAGCAAAAGTGAGGTGCTAAGCAACTCGGTGAGATCCTATCTCTAAACAAAACAAAAAATAGGGCTGTGTCCCTCTACAACTAAAAAAAAAAAAAAAAAAATCATTAAGGGCTGGGGATATGGCTCAATGGTAGAGTGCCCTGGGTTCAATTCCTGGTAAAAAAAAAAAAAAGAAAAGAAAAAGGAAACTAACCTAAACTCAAATCATGAGAAATATAATTATAAAACTCTAGAATATGAGACAAGTTTTGATATATTACACCTACTAAAGGATCATGGATTTCATGGGTTAAGTGAAAAGCAAAACCTTAGTAAGATATAATTAGGATGATTACTCACTTCTGTGTTTCTAAATCAGTTTCCGCTTCTTTGGCATGAAACCAAAGCAAACTGTTGAACACCTTTTTTATTTTCCTTTTTAAAAGGAAATCCATAAACATGAAATTTTACAAAATATGTAGTTACTGAATCACCTTATCTCTCCTGAGGTTTAGAACAACCACCTGTTCACATCCATTGTCTCTTCTCTAACTGGTCTAAGCATTTCTCATTTCCATGTCCAAAAAAACCTACTCTTTCCCCTACACTTTCTCATGTACAGAATTTAGTATTCAAAAATCTTCCTAGATTACAAATCTTCAACAAAAGAATCGAATCTTGGGTTGAGAATGTATCTCAGTGGCAGAGTGGTGGCGTAGCAAGCACAAGAACCTGGATTAATCCCCCGTACCATAAAAACAAAACCATCAAATTTTGCCTTGAAGCAAGATGGTGCCGACACTTTAAAATACAGAAGCTGTTACTGCTCACAAATATCTAAGTTGTATTTCCTCTTTGGTTATTAATCTATTAGCAGCATGTCACACTACAATCCACATGCTAACTACATAAAATATTCAAAAATCCTTATGTGGAGTTACAACTTACTTTAGGGGATCTTCTTGATCACTGTCTATGCTATCAGCTTCACTGTCAGGGTCACCTCTCCATGTCTGATCCACAGTAATGGGTTCCTGGTCCCCATCACTCCAGCTGTCTTCATCTGAGGCAAGGAAGGGAGAGCAGTCATTAAGACTTCCCACCTTTGTAACTCCACCACACAAAACTAGATTACTTAGCAAATCAACCCAAACCTTAAAATTAAAAACACCATTTATATAAGGAAAAAAAAGTCACCAGCTCAGAAGAATAAACCTAAGCAAACTCTCCTTCAAATGCAAAGAACTGGTGAAGAACATAGCAACCCTGGAAGTTCATCACCCTCACCAAATTCCCAATGAATAATATTGCCAAATATGTTCAAGATACTTCAAACCAAAATAAATTCATTCTTAACCTTCTTCTACCTTTTTTATTCTAGGAGAAAAGATCCTTACCCAGTATTCGGCTGGCTTCACTGCGGCTACTTTCTGGAGTCTGAGAGCCCAGTTCTGTCTTAGCATACGCGCTCAGCTGGCACAAGAGTGTTTCACTCATAGGCCCTGGGTTGGTCTTCTTCATTTGAGCATGAAGTGCTAAGGCATTCCTGCGGGCATGTTCAGCACAGAAGGACACCCTAAGAAGATATAAATATTAATATTTTTTAGGTTCTCTCTTGAAAGGGTTCAACAATTTTCACAGTCACTGATCTTTAGAGCATTTTCAGGAAACTGAAATGATATTACATTCACTCCTCAAATGGCCAATGAATCAGATGAATTTAACTAGCCTCTACCACTGAGCTACACCCCCGCCCACATTTGTTCTTAAAGGGAAAAGCAGGTAGCTTATCCAGTGCACTAGCCATTAAACAAAACATTCCAACTATAAAAAAGTTGACATTATCTCATAACAAAGAGATTAATTTTTCAAAATTAATTCTAGAAGGGTCATTTTCATATCAATCCACTGTAAATAATAAGATGTAGGACACTTTTTTCCTTTGGTACTGGTGATTAAACCCACTGAGCTACATTCCATCCATTTTTTCCCCCTGTGGTGCTGGGGATTGAACCCAGAGCCTTGTGCATGTGACGCAGGCTGGCACTCTACCAACTGAGCTATATAACCTAAGCCCCTATTCCATCCTTTTTTTTTGATTTTGGGACAGACAAGATCTCTATAAGTTGCTGAGGGTCTCACTAAATTGCTAAATTTGACTTCAAACACGGGATCCTCTTGCCTCAGCTTCCAGCTCAGCCTCCCCAGCTTCTGCAATTACAGACATCTACCTTCACAGACATCTACCTTCACCACGCAGCCTGCGGGACAATTTTAAAACTTGAAGTTTTACACAAAATTATCTAGAAGAGTTATGTTTCTGCATGGATACCTTTGTTTATATGATGAAAGCTATGAAGCCTCTTCCAAAAAAATACACATATACACGACTTTGCCTATTATTTAACAAGGTACAAGCCAAAAGAGTCAGCACCCCAGCAGTAAGAATTTAGAATATCCCTTCATCTTACAGACAAGGAAAAAGATCCAGAGATGAACTAAGTGATCCAAATCAAGTGTCCTTCCAGTTAATCACCATTGTATTTTGGTTTTTATTTTTTCTAAGGATATATTCATAAGTCCAACTTTAAAAGCATATAATCTGAAATTCAGCAGTTATGCCTAAGCCCAGAGATCATATCATTTATCCCCCTTATCACAAAAATAAAGGTGGGGGGGTTTGAGGATGGAGCTCAGTGGTTGAGTGGGCGCTCAGCATGCACGATTCCCTAGGTTCAATCCTCAGCACTAGCAGAAACAAAAATAAGAGAGAGAGAGAGACTAACGGCACAAACAACGTATGTATCTATACATATACCCGTCTTTCTTCTCTGGTTTTGGGGCAGCACTGGGACATCTCTTTCCATTCTTCGTTGATATATAACTACACTGCTTGAAGGGTGCATTCTTGTCTTCAAGGATATGCTTAATGCAAAACTCCTGGCCCTCCAGGCGAGGTTGGGAGCACGGGCGATGAGTAAATGAACAAGACAGGAGCTCCTGAGACCTGGGCACTGGGGTGATCCTACCCCGATTGGTTGGCAAGACGTGAATCCGAATCCTGTTCATACCAAAACCTGTAGGGTCACAAGGAAGATCAAAATGCCCTTAGCCTTCCCGAAAATTCCTATTCCACAATGTCCGGATAGACCTCCGGTAGGTAAGTTTCTAAAGGACAGGCAGCAGGCCTCGCGGGTACGCTCCATAACTCCCCCACCGCCTTCCCAAGTCTCCCTAGCACTGGAGACTTTGCCTCCCCTTTAACTTCTCCCTCCACGCTGGGCCCTACCCCGACACCCAGCCACGCTGACGGTACCCCCAGGACTCTCATGGCTGCAGCACGAGGGGAAGAGTGGCGCCAGCCCCACGTGGCCCCGCCGCAACGCCGCGCCCCGCCCCCGCTGCCCTGCACGCCGCCTTTGTCCCAGCCCGCCTCAGAGCTCACAGCTGGGCCCAGGCCGGCCTCGGGCGCAGTGCAAGCGCCATTTTGTCCTAAGGCTCCGCGCACCGAAGAAGCTGGTTCCCAGGAGTCTATAGTAGAAGAGCGACTCCGAAGCTGCCTGAGGAGGGGCAGCCGCTCTGAGACAACAGAAAGGGTGAAAAAACAGCCTAACTACAAAGGAGAAGAGCACGCAAGGCCGCCATCTTACCTCTTCCGCAGCGCTCCACCGCGCCGCTCGCCCTTCTCTGGCAAGCGCCAGCAGCTGCTACCTCGGCCCTGCTCTTTTCCGGGCTCCTAGCTGCTGATTGGCTGCTGCTCTCACGGCGCTGTGTCACCATTGGTCGAGGCCCGCCACTAACACGTCTGTAGGGAGCTGAACGCTGAGAAAATGCGCGGCTGGAGCGACTGGGACGAACGTCGGTCAGCAACTCCCTCCGACCTCAGTGAGAAGGCTGGCTACCGCGCGAGTCTCGGGCCCGGGATGTTTTTTCCCCCCCTCTCTATGTGGCTCACTTTCATCCAACTTTTGGCCTGTGATCCTAGGCAACTGCTTTCTCACCACCCCTACACAGCAGGTAGAAGATTGGACAGAGGCTGGAGAATCACTGTACATTTCATTGTTTATACATGAAAAGGTTTAGTTTGGGAAGCAGTTCACTACATTGAATGGTAATTTCGTGTTGAGCACTCTAAGAAACAGTTGGGGGGGGGGCGTTTTCCACAAGTGTGGGAAATAACATGTATCGATTCAGTTAATTTTTCAGAGCAACCCTGAGGTAGAGGCTATTAACTATTTTACGTAGCTACTAAGAGAGGCGAATTTGAACAGTCTTCACTCTATCTCTATTGCCTCTCATATAGTAAAAGGGCATTGGACTGAAAATAAGGAAATATAAATTATGATTTAGGCCTTTCTTCTTAAAAACTGTACGCCCTGATTCTCTAAAAATTCTCTACAACTTCATGCAAAATAATGCACATATTATAGAAATGACAGAAAATATCAATTTTATCATCTTTTAAGGGGTTTTAGTTGAAAGCATTCTTCTATTATCACCACTACTCATAGAAATGAGCCAACACTTTGTAGAGTTTTGTTTATTGTTTTGGTTTTTGCATCCTAACCTCCCAGCTCACTATTGGTTTCATGGTACATAAGAGTAAAACGTGTATCCATGATCATCAATGAGCAGGTGAGCATGATTTTAATGGAAGTCAGCACTTAGAATCTACAGACCTCAAGAAAAGCAGTGTGTTTAGGGGGTGGAAATAACTAAAACGAAGTGTGTGGAAGGGTACTGTTTCCAGAGACTAAGGCAGCCCTTAGTAAAGACCCTCTCCTGAAATTCATTCATTCATGAAATATTTATTAAGCATCTCAGTGCCAGGCACTGGGGATACAGGAGACAACAAGAAAAATAACCCTCATTTCTTGGAGTAAACATTCTAGAATAATGTGGGATTGTGGATGCAAAACAAATATTAATAGCAATAAAAACACGTAGCAAATATTTCAACCCTCAAAAGAGGGTATAGGTGTTATAAACACCCTATTTAAAAAACTAGCTGGAGGACTGGACATAGTTCAGTCAAAGCATTTGCCGTGTATTCGCAAAGCTCTGTGTTCCATCCCCAGTTCCAAAAAAGAACAAGAACCCCACCTAAAAAATAATAATAATAATATTTTTAAAAAAACTAACTGGAGGCAGTAATATTATAGAAAATTTGGGAATCAAAATCTGCAACCAAATGTGGAAATAACAAAAGGAATATTAAAACTACTACAGTAGATGAAGAGACACAGGAATAGATAGAGATGCAATAAAGACTTTCTTCTAACCAGAGGAAAAATCCTTCTGCTAAGGCCAAGGCAGACAAAAATTACTATTTGGAATTATTCCCAAATGTGGGAATAGAGGGGTGAACAGATATTACTAAGTGATCAAAATAATGGTAAATTTCTTTTAGTACCCAGGGTTAAACCCAGGGGTGCCTTAATCACTGTGCCACATGCCCAGCCCTTTTTATTTTTTATTTTGAGACAGGGTCTAAGTTGCTTAGGGACTTGCTAAATTGCTGAGGTTGGCTTTGAACTTGCAATCCTCCTGCCTCAGCCTCCCACATAGCTGGAATTATAGGTGTGGGCCACTGTGCCCAGCAAATTTCTTTAAAAAAAACAAGATATCAACAAATTTGTTTATGTCTAACAAAGTAGATGGCTGGCTGTAATTTACTAAATACTTTCCTAGCTGTTGAAAAGCTTGATTGTAAATAAGTGTTGGGAAAGAGGAATTCTTGAAGGAAAAAGAATGCTTAAGAATTTGGAGTTTGGGGGTTAATCATAAAGAACAGAAAAAGAGGAGCTAACAGTGTAAACTTGTGCTATATTAGCTAGAGCTGGATTAGTTTTTTGTTTTTGTTTTTAAAGAATGGTGGAGTGCAGTGGCACACATCTCAAAATTAAATTCAGTCAAAAGAAAACTTTCACAAGCTCTCACCAAATTAACCTAAAGCCTGTGGTTCAATCAGTATTGTTTTCCTTCCAGTTATTGTGACTTTGCTGGCCATGCACCTATAGGAGCATCCCATTGTATCTACTGAAGGACATCTCCACCTCTCAAGGGACTTCACAGGTCTCTTTCATTTACTGGATCTTTCCCATCAGCATATGTAAATACTGCGATTTCTCCCATTTTAAAAATAGCAAAAATCTTGATTATTACCTCATTCTCCAGCTACTGCCCCATTCCTCTATTCCTCTTTTTAGAAAAGCTTAAAGTTGTCATGACATGCTGTCTCCAACTTCTCATTCTCTCAAACCCTCCCCAGTTAGGATTTTCCCAACATCAGATTGATAGTCAAGTTGATATATGACTTTCACCTTGCAGGTTCCTTTCTCTGAGACTTCATCTCATTACACCATTTGGTAAAATCTGACACACTTGGCCATTCTGTCCTCCTTAAAACACTTCTATATCTCCATACTCTTAATAGTTTTTCCTCCTGCTTCAAACACATTCTCAGTCTCTTTTTGTCTCTTGTCCCTTCTCTTTTCCCCAAGGTCTAAGCACTGGACATTTCTCTTTTCTAAGGGCATTCCCTCAATTATCTCACTCCATTCATCAGTTGATGATTCCTAAACATCTATTTCCAGCCTGGACCCCTTCTTTGAACTTAAGTCTATATACATCTGTACAGTAGACATCTCCATTGGACGCCTAATTGCAGTTCCAAATTTAATGTTATAGCCAACCTCCTGCTCCTCCTATTATCATCCCCATCTCAGTATTGTCCATTCTTCTAGTTGGTCAAGCCAAACACTGGGAGTCTTCTTTGACTTTACAAATCCTATTGATGTCATTGTCAATATATATAGTACCAGTTCTCATTACCTTCAGCATTTGCAACCTAAGCCACCCTTTTACTAAATTGTGATGAGAGCCTCTTTGCCCTTAACCTGAGTAGCTGGGATCACAGACACACCAATGCACCCAGTTGCCACATGTCTTAGAAAGGGATTCAACTTTCGACTGAACATTGAATCGTAGCAATCAATTTTTTTCCCTGTCAAAAGTATACAGGAAGCTGGGCATGGTAGCGCAAGCCTGTAATCCCGGTGGCTGGGGGAGGCTAAGGCAGGAGGATGACAAGCTCAAATCCAGCCTCAGCAAACGGGAGGTACTAAGCAACTCAATGAGTCCCTGTCTCTAAATGAAATACAAAATAGGGCTGGGGATGTGGGTCAGTGGAAGTGCCCCTGAGTTCAATCCCTAGTGCCCCCACCCAAAAAATGCATAGGAGATAAGGATATGATGATATAGGTATTGGTCATAAAATGAGGTATGGTCCTATGTATCAATTCATTAAACAAGCCCTATAATTGGGATTGCAGCTATATTCAAACTTTAAATTATTTATACCTCATCTATTCCCAAGGATAACAAAGATGACCAGAATAGAAAGTTCCACAAAAATTCCAAAGTAGAACTATAAAAATTGGGGGGTTGGGGTTGTAGCTCAGTGGTAGAGCACTTGCCTAGCAAGAACAAGGTCCTGGATTAAATTTTCAGATATCTCTCTCTTAAATTTTCAGCTCTCTCTCTCTCTCTCTCTCTCTCTCACACACACACACACACACACACACAAATTTCCAGCATTACATACACACACACACACAAATTTCCAGCATTACATACACACACACACACACACACACACACACTCCCCCCCCACCCCTTCCCCACCTCGGGCTTGCCTAACAAAAATTTCAAGTTACCTTATTTTAGGAAAAAAAAAATGAACTTCAGAACACAATTTACTTTTTTTTATAAGTATCATAATATTTACCTTTTTCCTTTTATAGCTTTTAAATTATAGCTACTGCTAACCTGCAAGTTTGGAGTACTTTTGCATAAAAGTTCGTTCCTTAATTATGTAATTTACAAGATTTATCTTGTGTACCTGAGTTTTTTGTTGTTGTTGTGTTTTGCTTTGTGTTGCTGGGGATCAAATCCAGTGCTCCACACATACAAGACAAATGCTACCACCAAACTACATCCCCAGCCCCTATGTATGTGGTTCTACAATTTTTCTAGGTACCATCAAGGATGTAATTTTTTTTTTCTTCAAAACATTTTCTGTCTCTCCTAACAATGCAGGTTTTTCAGATACAAGACATAATTATGGCCGGGCGAGGTGGCACACGCCTGTAATCCCAACAGCTCTGAAGGCTGAGGCAGGAGGATCGCAAGTTCAAAGCCAGCCTCAACAAAAAGTGAGGCACTAAACAACTCAGTGAGACTCTGAGATGTGGTTCAGTGGTCCAGTGCCACTGAGTTCAATCCATGGTCCTAAAATAAAATGGAAATATATACATTTATATATATATATATATATATATATATATATATATATATATATATAATGGAAAAAAATAAAATAAAATTATGGCCAGGCATGCTGGTGCACACCTGTAATCCCAGAAGCTTGAGCGGATAAGGCAGGAGAATCGCAAGTTCAAAGCCAGCCTCAGGAACTTAACAAGGCCCTAAGTAACTCGGTGAGAACCTGTCTCTAAATAAAACACAAAAAAAGGGCTGGGGATGTGGCTCAGTGCTTAAGTGGCCCTGGATTCACTCCGCTGTGCAAAAAAAAAAAAAAAAAAATATATATATATATATATATATATACACACACTTATGAATCATGTTGATATTGCTTGCTAAGTGGCTTAATGTTGCTATCATCTGTTAGAGCTATAATTTTTTGTTTGTTTGTTTAGAAGTTGTTCTTCCAAGTATTCATTCAAGAATACAGAATGAGGTTTTTTTCCTCCTAACTACAACATCCTTTATTCTACCAGGTTCACTGTAATGGCCAAAGCTTAGGTCTTTCCAATGGACTCGAATCCCTATGGGATCTTATACAGTAAGAACATAATGCCATTAAAACTGAAATAAAATGGTAATGATATCAATAAAATGACAGTTAAAGACTAAGGACTAATTTGCCGACATGGTACATATAAACAACAATCAGATGAACGTTTTATCATTAACATTTATTGATGGGATGGATAAATACAGATTGAGAAACATACTTGACAGCAAGTTATCAAACTGATAGCCAGACTATAAAATGTATACAACATCCTTCTTTAATTTTTTTTTAAATTTTCTGAATTTTTTACAAAGAGCCCTTATGATAATGGTCACTTACATCCTATCATTCACATAACAGCAGTAGAGATCCCAAGGGTAGCATCCAAAACTGAGGTCCCCTAAGGAGGACAGAGGCAACAGCAGAATAATATGCTGAGAAAGGACTCTTAAGAGCAATACAAAGAAAGAGAGAAAATTCTCACCACAAAATTGTACCTGAGTGACATAAATTGGTAAAGTGTTTTTTGTTTTCTTTTTCCTTTCGCTCTTTGGTCTCGTAAGAAAACGGACAGTTTTAAGTGTGTAAAGTAGGGTGGGAAAAGGTCAACTTCAAGCTCAAAAACAGGTTAAGTCTAAGTTAGGCTGCTGCATTCTTTGGGTGCTTAAGCCATACAGCACTTTCACTTTGTAACCAATTCCATTATGATCAACAACTAATCAGGTCCTCAGTTGCACTGAAGAGTTCCCGATTACCTGATGGAGATAATACTCATTCTGGCTTCAATTAGCATGCTGTCAAGCATCCCTCTCCATGCTTAACATGGCAACACAAAACCCAAGTTTATTTTCATTCAACCACAAATACACACTCATCAAGGGAAAGGAGACACTGCTTTTTAGTAAACATTCTTTTTCTTTTCCTCCCCTTTCCAACACCACGTTCATACAAAAACTTTAGAAACATTAAAATGGAGAGCTCTCCCACTTAAAAGTTAATTATGATTCCAGACTATCAGGTAAGATTACAGTACCGTGCTTGCTTCAAACTCACATCCAGAGAGGTATAGAAAACAAAACTTAACAGTGTGGTGCAAAAAGAACATTTCCTAATTCATCAGGAGCCAAAACTCAGTTAAAAGTTGGATGATAACAAGCAAGAACATGAAACATTTGGGGAGGTATTAGTCACTGAAAGCATGGTGGGATGACAGAAGACCATTTCTCACAATTCAGATGGGTTGCATAGACTGCTTAAATTATCCCAAACCCAAGAGAAGAAAATTTGCATTCCAACTTCAAGATGTTCTAGCTTCTCTCTTTTCCTAGCACTAGCATCAAAATAACTAATCAAAGTTAAATTTTTAAATTAATCAGTTCCAAAAATAAAGGAAAACAGGTGTTTAAAATCCAATCATACTAGGATAGTTAGGGACCCTCAAATTGCCTTTTCCAAAAAGCAAGTTATGAGGGGTATGCATTATCAGTATGAGGAATTAGGTTTCCATAGGCTTAAAAAAACCTGGCAGTGATGATACCATGATTTTATTTCAATATCTGAATCCACTGCTGTATGCAACTGGATATTTTAAGTTGTCCTATCAACACCGAAGTCCATAATACAAAATTACATAGGATACACTAAATCAAAACACTAAATTGATTTAAAAGAAAAAGGAAGCTAAGAGTCTCAAATATGGAAACATTGATTAATGAGTGGGAAGACTAGACTAATACCTAAGTATTTTCCTAACCCAAAAAGCATAACTGATGCCTCTGAAGACCATGTTGACTTTAGATTAATACTTCACTAGAGTTTAGCCAAGAGCAACACAGGTATTCGATTAAAAGCCCTAAGGACAATCCACAGGTATTTTGTTTATGTAAAGTTTTGGGAATTACTTTTACAGAACTTGAAGCTCCAGGCCTGCTGACCACCATTAACTATCCTTGACAGTCTAGGTTAAAAGAAACAAAAAGTCATGTTTACTAAACTAACTTTGGATATACAAACCCCATTTCTCACCCTTTGAAGGCGTGAGGGTAGAGAAGACACACAGCTTAGAAATCACACAACCCTTAGAAAACTTAAGTTTGTAGAATTTGGACAATATGCATATTAGCTGACAGGCACATCTGTTAACCCAAAGATAATGCATCAGCTTCATGCAGAGTCCATAAGACGGTTCAGAATATATGCATAGATCTAAAAACAGATACTGTAGGTATCTTAAGACAGTACCAGGAGGCATAAATATAGAGAGGTCTCTAACCTGACTTATATCAGCAAAGATCTACTAGTGCAAAGGCCAGACTCCACAGCATAAAGCAACTCTTTAGGTGGTTCATTCCTAGCAAGTTCTAAGGAACTTAACTACAGTACTGCCATGGAGAACTGTTATGACATCAAGTGGATATGTGCTTCTGGTAAGGGACTGCATGTGATTAGAAAATGTGACATTAATTAAGAGTAATTAAAAGCTAGAGAGACACTTTCACAATCAAATCAGTGATCATCAATTCCACAAAGATACAGATACAAACTAAATGGCATATTCCCTTTTGGAGAGGTCTGGATAGAAGCAGACTCCACCAAACAAAATCTAAACAAACACAAAATCTAAATTTAGTAAACACAACCACGCATCTACCAATTATCTAGCACAACACAAAATATCAAGAAAGAGGAAATTGTCATCTAGAAAAGTTAAGTGACATTCCAAGAAGTATTACTGGTTCACAGGTCAACAAAGAGCTCCTTATTTTACACAGCATAGGCAGGCACTCTAGATAATCCAAACATGCATTGATACGGGACTCTGTTTCATTCACCTTCAGTTCAGGTTTATGCTTTCCTACATAGTCCTTCCTATATCAGGCCAGTACACCATCAATGCTAACTGCCCCAGTTTCCCCCACAATCCATTCATGGCATACAACAGCACATATATAACTCCTGTCTCCCTATGACTTGCAATGAAAAGAATGAGACTTCTCCCCTAAATACTATTTGGCATGATGGAAGTTGCATTAAAAAAGATAAATTCAAACTGCACCATCCTTCCCATAACAAAAATGCCACAAAGACCAAATGACACACCAAACGATCTGAATTATGTGGCATTTTCAGTCCTTCCACATCAAAATGTTCAATCCTAATATATGTGATAATCAAGCACCCATGACAGGAATCCTGATTTTTTTTTTTTAGGGACTCTTAGAACTCTCCTTAGGAACCTCCATCTAGAATCTAAAGATGGACAATCTATACATAGCAGTATTTGCTGGCAAGTACTGCTCACTCTTGCGGCACCAGTACTGTTAAATTCACAAGCTCCAATCTGAAGTCATATAGGCTGCAAACACAAGGATGCAGCTGTTTCCCTTCAGATATACAGATAAAAAAGCAAGTCTTACATTCATAATGTAATTTAAAATACAATGTCCTAAGAATTTCAAATCACAATTTCATTGTTTTTAGTATCCTTTAGCTCCAAGTCTTCTACGAAAACTATTGTCACATAAGTCTGGGCTTTCATAAGCAGGATATATATAGCACATCTCCTTCCCTTCAGAGACCCTGAGAACACTCTCATCTGAACACTTTCCCAAAGCCTAATTGAAAAAAAGACATACCCAATTCTGTAGGACAGAAGCTGGCCTTGCTCTCTAACCCTTTTTCCTCAACCCCACCTCTGTTCTGCATTAAAAAGAACAAAGCTGTAAAAAGGAAGTTTGATAATGGAGTTGAGAATCAGGTCATTGGCTGCGCTTGCCCAAACTAGAAATTACAGTGCTACTCCTCAATCACAACATAAAGGAGGAAATACATGCCTCTTCCTTCATGTTCTCAAGGCCAACCATGTTCTCTCTAGTAGACTATTGGGAAGTGAAAATGATAAAGGACAGCGAGGGAAAGATAAAAACATGATTTTTTTTTAACACACACACTTAAAAAACACCCACACACTCACACTTACATACACACTTAAAGGTCTCAACACTTCAAGTGGCCTGAGCCTATTTCAGAACTCTTGGCCAAGAGCCTACCCTCCCACCCACCCTGCACACATTCCCACCCTCCAATCCCACCCACCCTGTCATTGCTATGTACCTCATACACACAGCAAAATTCTTATCCCCTTCCCAATTATATAAAAAAACTAAACAGATAACTTACTTTCTTTAAATTATTTTTTAAAGTCTCTTAAAAGATTTTGACGTTTAAATACTTCCTCTCTTCTGATATATTAAACATCAAAAGAACCCACAATTACTTGATAAAACAAACCCTTCCATGGTTCAGTTCTGGCAAGAAGAGGGAAGATAACTACCCCAATCAACCTAATTAGGAAGTGGAGAGGCCTAGAGAAAGTGTTCTTAATCTTTCACAGCTTCAACACATTCCCACCTCTCTAATACCAGTAAAAACTATAAAATAGTTAAATGTATGAGGCAGCAGATATAATAACCAAGGCCCTCCACCACCCTCCCACCTATGTCTCAACATCAACTTATTCCCTAGTCCAAGAAGAGGGACATATTTCATAAGGGAATCATTTTTCTCAGTCCAATATCAGTAGTCAAAAAAAAAAAAAAGCGCATGTTTTTTAGAGAAGTTTTTTTTCTCCCCCCCTTTTTTTTTTCTTTCTTTTTTTTTTTTTTTACTTAGGAAGGGGTGGAAGTGGTGGAGGAGGTTCTGATGGTAGAGGCGGTGGCCGGGGTTTGTCTGCATTGCCAGATCTAGAGGACATTCCACTAGCCCGTGGATTGAGATATTCACCATAAGAATGAACAAATTCAAATGCAGGGGGCTGAGTGGGTTGAACACCTTGGGCACTGAGCAGGGAGTGAAGCATATTCACAGTATCTTGATAGTCTATTGACTGGGTTGTGTTGTGACCATTGGCCCCAGTGGGACCTTTATCCAGTTTCATATGAGGAACTCGAGTTTTACAGCTAGGCTGTGAAAAGGGAAGGCCACTTGTGTCTGAGCTATGCCCAGGCAACTGGGCCATCGTAGGAAGAGGAGGGAAGGAGAAATTTAAGGAAGAGGATTTAGTACTCTTGGCAATCTTGGCTGGATGATCAAATACTGCCCCTCCAGTCTCTTCAGGGGGACCTCTTTTACGAGTGGAACTCGAAGATGAGAAAGAACTAGACAAGGTATAGGTTTTATGTGCTAACGTGCTTGCCTGGCTGCTATGTTTTGGATCACCTGGACGTTTGTTACCAGTAGCAGCTGGAAGCTGTGAGTAAGAGTGCTTGTGTGAGTGGTGATTATGATGATGATGGTGATTAGATGGGTGAGTCTTGTGCTTGTCTTTGTGTTCCCGGCTCTTTGTGACACTGTCCTCTACAGAATTATGCTTGTCAGCTGCATGGACTTTAATGCGCATTTTTATCTCCTCTGGTTTTGAAGAGGTAGCTTTATCGCCACCAGTCACTGGAAGTCTCATTTTGAGAGATGATTTGTCAGCCTTATCTAGAAAAGGCCGCTCAGGGTTTTCTGAGCCCTCTAAGGGCATCTTCAGAATGACTGAAGAATGGCTATCATGGTGAGACAGGAGATTCTGGGCAGCATATGCATACTGTGACTTCACATTGGCCTCTGTGTTCTCCAGTTGCCTCTTCTGGGCAGCCAACTCTTCTGCATGCTTTGCACGATATTCTTTCAGGGAGACTTTAGTTGATGGCACACTCTTAGTACTCTGCTTCTGGGAAATAAATGCATTTGAACCATCCTGCTGCAAGGAATGATCGACTCCTATAAGTGCTAAATTCTCATTAGTCCGATGACCCTGAGCAGGTTCTAGTTTAAAAGGAGGTTGGGAGGATATCCAACGTTCACCCTGCAACATCTCCACATTGGTTAAGTTGCTTGATGACTCTTCAGAGACTGGAAGAGAAGGCACTGCACTCGTAGTAGATGAAGTTGACATGCTCATTAAACCCGCAATAGTTGTATCAGAAGAGCTCTGGGAAATCATATTGAGAATTGTCTGCTCTGAAGTGTTTTCATCTGCTCCTCGGTCATCTGCTTTTGATTTCCTGGCAGCCTGACATGCCTAAATGAAGCAAATAACATCACCTCATGTAATTTATTAAATTAAAATCCAGTAAGATGAGTAGATTGTACTTACTCAGGATAAGTCAAAACAAGCAGGAGGCTGCCCTAATATGAGAGCAAATAAATATATAATCCTCATAAAGGAATTTAAAACTGTCAATCAAGTCATACTAATTTTACAAGGCAACAGCAACAAAAAATTGTGCTAAACTAAAAATCACTCATAAACATTAAGTATGTTTGCTTGTGACTATAGTTAGTCCTTAAATTCTAGAAATTAAAGTGAAAGATGAACTATATGTTCTGAAGCCTACTTCTGCTTTTTTTTTCCTTTGGGTGGGGGTGGTTTACCAGGAATTGAACCCAGGAGTATCTTACCCTGAGCTACGTCTCCAGTCCTTTGTATTTTCAGACAGTCTTGCTTAGGACCTCGTGAAGTTGCTGAGGTAGGCTTCAAGTTGCAATCCTCATGCCTCAGCCTCCCCAATCAGGGATTACACGTATGCACCACTGTGTCCAGCTCTCAACCCTACTTCTAACCCTAAGCTTCTAGGAGGCAAACATTCTCTGCAACTCACTCAACTTAGGAGAATGTAATTATACTTATCAGTATGGATTTATGAGAAATGAGGGAAACTTTCTGGCATTGAGGATCAAACCCAGGGCCTGATACATGACAATGACAAGCATGTGCTCTACCACAAAGCTAAGTCCCTAGCCCAAAGGAAAATGTTTTCAAACACACTGTACGCGGGTGGGGGGGACGGGGGAGGAATGATTCCATTATTCCTAAGTAAGACTTTGAAAAATATCTAAAATGTAACTTTAGGCTGCAATCTATGTGAAAAATTCTAAAACCCATTTTAAAAGTAGTTAATATGAAAGTTTCAACAAAGATTCAAGGATAAAATTATGACACCATTTCTAACCTTTCATTGTTGTTTAGTATCAAGGGATTGAACACAGGGGTGCTTAATCTTGAGCCAAATCCCCAGTACTTTTTATTTTTTATTTTGAGATGGGGCCTCACTAAATTGCTGAGCCTGCCTCAGTCCCCTGAATTGCTGGAATTATAGGCGTGTGCCACACCCAGCTTATCAGCTCTACCTTTTTAACTCTACATCTTGCCTCTACTAGGAGCCAATACTCTCAGAGAAGCCATCTTTTCTTCCCTAACAGTCTCCACATAGAAAATATTTAACCAATGTAGCTTACTGAATAATCATTATCAGAAGTATTACATACACAAAGCAAAACCTGCTATCACCTATAACTACAGACTTCTGGCCAGTATCCAAGCTATGAAGTCATAATTACTGCATAACTATGAAAAGGGAAATTCCAAACCAGGACACAAATCCAATTCTGGTATATTCCCTGATATAGTCCAAAAAAAAAAAAAAAAAAAAAGGAACAATTGATAGCAATGATTCTTACCCTCCAATTCCGAATGCGTTTGAGCCTGCTGGGAGTTTTCTCCAGAATCTGTAGAAATTCATGTGTCAATTCTACAAATAAAACATTCAAAAAAGACTGAGAGAGATAATAAAACAAGAATAACCTCAACCAACTTAACTCACTATTTTCATCTGAATAAAGTCACCTTTGGCCAGATATGTGGCAGATCAAGAGCAAGTGCTTTTCAAGGTCCCTTACTCTAAAACTTACCATCTAAAAGTTCCAAGGTCACAGTGGCGTCAACATATTCCCACCAGTGCTTCCCGTCAGTTGAGACTGGGATCTCCCAGTTGGACCACTTGCAAGCCAGATGGATGCAGACACAGGCCACCACAGGAGGTGTGTACTGCAGGCTAAATGTGGTCAAATGCAGGCTGACATCAGAGGGAAGGAAACAGAGAGTGTCATGAGCTCTCAATTCTCAACCCAAAGCTAAAACTCTCCATTATTAGAAGAAAAAAAAAAAAAAAAAATCTAAAAATACACAGGAGAGAGAGGGCAAGAACTATCCTATGCTCTGATTCAGCACTCAATATAATGATTTTCTGTTAACCCACTGTGCAGGCTAACAACATTTCTAAATTTCTTTTCCACTTATAATTCAATCCATACACTGACTAGGGACTCAAAAAAAAAAAAAAATTACATATCCATGTTTTTAAAAAATATTAACTTCTGGACCAGTATCAAAGCTCAGAAGTAAATCTTTATTACCTATTACCTGGAGAATAAGCTCAGAACTTAAGGAAAATTTTAGGGTTTTTGTATTTAATCCCTAATCAAATACTAAGGAAATACCCTAAAAATCATCTTCTCTTTGTCAATCATAGTTCTGGACTATTTAAAATAATGAACAGACAGGGGATGAGCTGTAGTTCAGTGGCACAGCACTTGCTTAGCATGTGTGAGCCACCAGATTCAATCCTCAGCACTACATAAAATAAGTAAATAAATAAATAAACAAATAAAATAAAGGTATGCTGTCCATCTACAGCTACAAAAAAATTAAAAAATAAAAATAAGGAACAGACCACAAGCCAGGCATGGTGGTGCATGCCTATAATCCCAGCAACTTGGAAGGCTGAGGCAGGACAATTACAAGTTTAAGGTCAGCCTCAGCAACTCAGCTGAGGTGCTAAACAACTTACCAAGACTCTGTCTCAGACTCAAAAACCACTATGGTGGGCTGGGGTTGTGGCTCAGAGGTAGAGGGCTCACCCAGCATGTGACAGGCACTGGGTTCAATCCTCAGCACCATATAAGGTAAAATAGACATTGTGTTCACCTATAACTAAAAAATAAATATTAAAAAATATAACTAATATAAATAAATAAATAAATGGATGGGAGATGTGGCCCAGTGGTAAAGCACTCGGGTTCAATCCCCAGTACTAAAAAAAAAAATCATTCTCAAATGTGAACTTGCAGGCTGGGGTTGTGGCTCTGTGGTAGAGTGCTCATCTAGCATGCACGAGGCACTGGGTTCGATCCTCAGCACCACATAAATGTAAAATAAAGATTTTGTGTCCACCTAAAACTTAAGAATAAATATTTTTTTTTTAAATGTGAACTTGCTTGATTGATGGTTTATTTCAATAAATTCACACTTAGGTCATAAAACTGAACTTATTAAGAGTATCCTCAATTTTTATGAACAAACATTACTGGAGGATCAGAGATGAAAGCAAGAAAGTCATTTGGTAGTAAAGTTATATACAAATAATTTTTAAAAAAAGAAAGAAAAAAAAATATTGCCAACTCTACACATACACATGTCCATTTGGGCAAAGGAAACATCATTGCAAAATCCTCCAAATTAGATATTTACTCACTACTAATGAGTTCTAAACTCACTGAACTTTCAGAACTGTGCTCTTAGTTATTTTAAAGCAAAGTAACACATGTAGAACAGGCAGGCAATCAAAGAATCACTACTAAATAATCATATCACCTTAGCAAATTAAAAAGCACCATGAAATCTAAGATACAACATTTAAAACTGCAGGAAAAAAAAACCACATTCACCAGAGAATTATCTATAACACATTGTATCGAAGATTATTTTGAAGCCTGGGTCTTTGGGTTCTGGTTTACTAAGTGGTTCTATATACCCCTCAAAAAGTAACAGTTCCAACCCAAGTAAAAACCAAGTCCCAAAAACAGAAGGGAAAAAATTGAAATATAAAAACCTGTTGGTTGCCATGAAGTAAGATGTCTGAGCTAAGTCCTTGCTTGCTAAAAAAAAAAAAAAAAAGGGAAAAGTTATTACTGCCATTTATAATCAACAAATATTTAGTAAGTATTTATATTTGCAAGTTACTGTGTGAAATAGAGTAGTAAATGAGGCAGAAATATCTCATCGCCTGATTTTTATATTCTACTAAAGGAAACAACAAATGGGGGGGAGGGGGGCGGGGAGAGGCACTGGGGATTAAGCCCAGGTGCTAATATATACTAAACATCTGGCTCAACCAGGTTGATTGAACCTAAGGTCACCTAACTACTGAGTCATATCCCCAGACCTTTTTCTTTTTGATTTTGAGACAAGGTCTCATTAGGTTGCTTACAGCCTGAGCAAGGCTGTGTGCCACCACAATGATTTTTTAATTTTAATTATTTTAATGTTAATAATTATGCTGATTCCAGACCTAGAGACTCAAGCTTTATTCTGCATATTAGGTATTGAGGGTATTTGTTTAAAAATGTAATAAATGAGGGGCTGGGCTTGTAGCTCAGTGGTAGAGCGCTTGTCTAGCATATGTGAAGCACTGGGTTCAATTCTCAGCACTGCGTATAAACAAGTCAAATAAAGGTTCATTGACAACTAAAAAAATATTTTAAAAACTGTAATTAATGAACTTGCTCCCTAGAGTGTGATTCAATATGTCCGAAGAAGGAGACAAGCAATTTTTAATAAGTAACACAGACATTCTGATCCAAGGGATCACTGAGAAACATTAAGCCAGGGGATGAACTAATATGATCTGGCAGCAAGATCAGAATCTAGAAGACCTTGATGAATTTGGGAAGTGACTTTTGCTTAGGGGAAAAAAAAAGTTTCTAATTGAGTAGCCTGTAATTTAATCCCTAGACCTCAAATAGCTTCGATTGTTTAACATAAATGAAATGAAAAACACCACGTTCCCTCTCCTATAAAAAATCTGTCCTGGGGACAAAGCAAATTTTGATCTTTTTTCTTCTTTTGACAGTACTAGAGATTGAATCCGGGGGTGCTTTACATCAGCTATGTCCCCAACTCCTTTTACTTATTTAATTTTGAGACAGGCTCTGGCTAAATTGCCAAGGCTGGTCTTAGACTTGTAATCGTCCTGCTCAGCCTCCACAGTAGCTGAGATTACATACATTCTTTTATCTTCTTTAGAATTAAAGTCTTTTTAATATTAAATCTGTCTCTGTTTAACCCTATCTTTGCTCATGTGTAATTTTAATGCTTCAAATACAATGTAATCTGGAAAATTTTGGGAATTTTTAATTTAATAATTACATTATTAAAATGTAAAATAAGGCCAATTATCAGTTTGGTCTACAAATCTCTAAAAGGTATTAAATATACAAAGGTGTCCAGATTTTTTTTGGCAATGGATGGTAGGGATCAAACCCAGGGCCACACATGTATTAGGCAAGTGCTTTACACTGAGCTACACCCGATATTCTTGATACTACTATGTAAATGAAATAAAAGAAACTGAGGACTGGGGGTATAGCTCAGTGGTAAACAGTTCGCATAGCATGTGTGAGGCCTTGGGTTTGATTTCCTCTGCAAAAAAAAAAATCAAATTAATAAAATAAAGAACTAGGTTTTATTCAATTAGAGCCACTATCATTAAACTAGAATAAGAAGAAAAGTCCTACCAAGGGATTGTCATGCATGGAAATAAGTTCAAATAAATTCTACTCAATCATCTGGATGGTCTTTAATCAGCCCTACAATTAAAATAAGATCACCCACTCCCAAGACTTCCTTAAAATTACCATTAGATACTTAGCACTTGGTGACTTTTCAAAATCTCCCCCCAATCTTTGACAAATACCCTCAATGTATTAACTGTCTCTTAACTGTAAATCATCTAAAAGCAATAATAAGAACCCCAAAAGGAAAACTCCAAGCCAGGAACAATAATTTTGATTGAAGTCAATTACTTTCAATTCAGCTTCTGGCCAAAGCAGGTATATTACTTACCTCGAACAAGCTGAGTACACTTTACCACATGTGTATGTGGGTGATCAATTGTTAATTCAAAGCCTTCAAGGAAAAAAAAAAAAAAAACTGGTTAAAAAGCTAAAGATACTCAACACATTTGAGATTTCTTTTATCTGAGTCATCATTAAAGGCCACCCTCATTTCTCTCTAAACATTACTGTTCAGAGACTAAGTCAAAGTACACAGTACACAGTATATTCTTCTCTAAATATATTATCTCCAAAGCTGTTACACTCTAGCTAGAGAGTACCAATAAGATCTCAAAACCACTGAAGAACCAAAAATCTCTAAACACAAAACATTTTAGGGACAATAGAACATAATATAATCTAGAAGAAGCAGTCACTCGAACTACCTTCTAAAGCTTATTCTTGAAAAAACATTTTAAAAACTATACCTCTCATCTTGGTTTTATTCCATCTCATCATGTTACAATAGATACTGATCATTTTATCCAATTTCAAATGGTCTTTACAAAAATTACTTAAGCAGGATCAGTGTGCCTATAAAAATTACTTTCGAATTAAGTTTACTTTCTTAAGTATATAACTAAAATTTTCTAGATATAATAAATACTGAGAAATTGACATGATGTAAATTATTCTGAAAGGATAACTTATTTTTGTGAATTAGATCTTACTTGTTTCTACATTTAAAAGAAAAAATGGGGGAGTGTTAATACTGGAAATTGAACCTCACTGGCCCTTTTCATTTCATTTTTGAGATGGGGTCTCCCTAAGACTAGATTCAAATTTGCAATCTTTCCACCTCAACCACCTGAGTAGCTGAAAGAACTCAAAATGCATAGATACATGTGCAAAAAAAAAAACAGTTGTACCAATAACTTTCAAATGCCACTCATGAAATCCTATCCTACCTAAAGATAAGAAAAATGTCAGCCCTAAAGAACAAGAAAAACAAAATCCTTATTTTCATATTTGCTATGCATCATCAGAGTTGCCCACGCAACCATTACGGCTTGAATTCCTCCACTTCCACTGTGCTATGCTGAACACTAGTTACCAATTTTACAAACAAATGCAGTATTTAAATATAATGACTGAATGAAGAGAATAATCGACAGAAGGAAAATTGTTCTTTAGATAGTTTTGCCATTATTTATCAGGTTAAAAACTGCCAAACCCTAAAAAAGGTAAATTAAAAACCCTAGAGTAGGGGAAAAAGGAAAAAAAAAAAAACCTTACTGCTATTTCAAAAGTCAACTATACCTATATTCCCTCTTGGTACAGGTAAGGTTCAACTCTAAATTCTACCACCTCTATAATCCAGAAACATATGCAATACTTTGCAAAAATCTTCCCAAGGGATTTTCTTACTGTTTGCTATTTTGTAATTTTTAATATCAAATCATTATTTACACAAATGATTTTTGATTTTTTAAAGGAAAATAAACTTACCTAAAGTTTGCAAAATTATGCTTTCTAAAATCACCAGATCTTGAACTTGTTGCAGGTAAGCCTATAGATGAGAAGTCAAAAATTATTTCCTAAAAAGGCATAATATATCAAGTATAAACAACTCTATCAATCCCTTCCAGAAAAAAAAAAAAAAAAAAAAAACAATGAAAGGCAGAGGTGGAGTTAGGAGGTAGAATAGGAATTGAAATACAATCCTTATCCCTATATCTAATTGGCACAGATTTTCCTTTATTTAAAAAAAAAATAAAATAGCCAGATGTGGTGATGCACACCTGTAATCCCAGCGGCTTGGGAGGCTGATGCAGAAGGATTTCAAATTCAAAGCCAGTCTCAGCAAAAGCAAGGTACTAAGCAATTCAGTGAGACCCTGCCTCTAAATAAAACATAAAATAGGGCTGGGGACGTGACTAAGTGGCTGAGTACCCCTCAGAGTTCAATCCCCAGTCCACCACCCACCCAAAAAAAGTAAAGCAGATACAAGTAGTAATACTTTACATATGGCTACAGAAAACAGAGAAAGCACCAGATATGGTTCATTTTCAGACTGATTTTTTTTTTTTTTTGTAAATCCAGAGATTGAATCCAGGGCACTTACCCAATGAGCCACACCCCAGTCTTTTTTATTTTTTATTTAAAAAACAGGGCCTCTCTCTAAGTTGCCTGACATTTTAAGTTTTAAAATTAAAATGATTTATACACAAAAAATTAATAACACCACCTTTTTCCAACACCATCAAAATATATTTGCAGAATCCTTTCTACAGAATTGTAAGCATCTCTTTGGGATAATACTAGATTTCTAAAAACTAATACGAGTTCAAAGGAAAAATGAACAAAAAAATTTCAGATTTGTGCCAGACAAAACGATAGCCACTAGCCACATGTGACTATAGAAAACTTGAAACAAAGGTAGTCTAAATTGAAATGTGCCACATTGCTATAAAATAAACAATGGATTTTAAACACTTAATTTTTAAAAAAGAATGTAAAATTTAGTAACTTTTAAATAATATATGCTAAAATGAAAATATTTTAGATACCTTAAGTTATATAAAATATATTATATTAAAATTATTTTTTTAATGAGGATTTATTTTTTATAGTGCTAAGAATAGAATAGAATCCAGGGCCTTATAGATGCTAGGCAAGCACTCTACCACTGAGCTAACAAACCCAGCCTCCAAAATGAGGATTTTTAATAAAATTTAATGAAAACTTAAAATGTTTCAATTTTCACAAATGTGGCTTTCATTTTATTTCTACTGGAAAGCAATAGTCTCTAGGAAAATGAGATCTGGGTCAGGAGTTCTGTAGTTAACTTCCCACTTAGTTCTATGATTTGAAAAAATCTAATAAGGACTGAAACTTTGCTAGTTCTCCTTTCCATATAGTAGAGAAAATATTTTCCCCTCTAACTCTTTCATAAGGGCTGGAGGCTCAGGTAAAAAAATTATGTAAATACACTTTAGAAAAAGGAAAGTGGGGATTTGTGTTTTGTTAACTCAATTACATGAACCAGTAGCATTTACTAGTCTTCAAACCTGAAAAAAATCTACAGCAATCACTCTGTAACAAGAGGTACCAGTGTGACCCAAAGAGAAAAATGAAGGCCAGACACTTACATGCAAAACAATTAGGGGGCTGGGGATATTGCTCAATTGGTAGAGTGCTTGCCTGAAATGCATAAGGTCCTGGGTTCAATCCCCAGCACCATGAAAAATAAAAAAAAAGAACATAACTAGGCCAGGTGCTGTACGCCTATAATCCCAGCAACTTGGGAGGCTGAGGAGGAGGATCACAAGTTCAAAGCCAACCTCCAGTATCAAAAGAAAAAAATAACATTTCAAATACAAGTTAAAAAAATTCATCTTCTCGTCTCCTAGGATGCTGCTGCTAATTACAGTTCCATATATACTCTTCCAGAACTTTATACTATGTTTGTATATATAGCTTTTTGTTTTCTTCCACCCTGACCTTTTTTTTTTTTTTTTTGGTCCTGGTGATTGAACTCAGGGGCACTTGACCACTGAGCCACATCCCCAGCCCTATTTTGTATTTTATTTAGAGACAGGGTCTCATTGACTTGCTTATTTAGCACCTCGCTGTTGCTGAGGTTGGCTTTGAACTTCAGCCTCCCCAGTAGCTGGGATTACAGGTGTGTGCCACTGTGCCCAGCTTGACTTTCTTAAAAAAGGGAAACTCTTGGTTTTAGAAGTCAACAAACTGGGGAGTACTTAGAGGGCTGACATTCATAGCAGACTGGAGAAAAATTATGGATTTCTGATGTGACATTATTTAAATCTCTTAAAATGAATGCATGGGTCCTCTATGAAATAAATGGATTTTCTTCTGAACAAACTAAACCGGGGCACTTAATCACTGAGCCACATCCCCCAGCCCTTTTATATATTTTATTTAGAGACAGGGTCTCACCATGTTGCTTAGGGCCTCACTAAGTTGCTGAGGCTGGCTATGAAATCGAAATCCTCCTGCCTCAGCCTCCCAAGCCACTGTGGGTTACAGTCGTGCACTACTGAGCCCAGCTAAACTGTTTCTTGAGTGTCTGAATTTTCTATGTGATTTTTACAATTCCCTTTTTTTTAATATTTTATTTTTTAGTTGTAGTTGGACACAATATCTTTATTTTATATATTTATCTTTATTTGATGTTGAGGATCGAACCCAGGGCCTCACACATGCTAGGCGAGCACTCTACTGCTGAGCCACAACCCCAGCCCCTACAATTTCTTTAAAACAACCCAGAGATTTAGTTCATTTTCACACTAAGATTTAAATTAGTCTGAAAAAACTAGCAACAGATCTCATTTATTTTTATTTTTTATTTTTTGGTTGTAGAGGACACAATACCTTTATTTTATTTATTTATTTATTTTTATGTGGTGCTGAGGATCAAACCCAGTGCTAGGCAAGTGCTCCAGCACTGAGCTACAACTGCAGTCCCCAGAACTTATTTCTTTAATGTATCCACAACAAAAATCTATCTATAAGAATGCCTTCAGGGCTGGATATGTACCCCAGTGGTAAAATGCATTAGGCACAGAGTTCAATTTCCAACACCACCAAATAAATAAAAAGGTAGAAAATTAAAATGGGAAAATATTTTGGATATAGTAAGTTAAAAAAAAAAAAAACACATAAACCCACATTCAAACTTCACCAAATTAAAGTTATAACACTTTGCAATCAAAATTAAAAAAAAAAAAAAAAACGTAATCACTTTCCTACCTCACTCCTAGTATCAGGAAGTGATTCCTGTGGATGGAGACAAGCATGTGCTACCTTGATGACATGTTCCAATTTTTTTGGCTGTTCCTCCACTTTAGCCGCCAGAAACAAAGCTGCAGGAGCCACAGACTAGATAAAAACAATAAATAAATCATACTTATTTATTTCTAGATCAAGGTTGATGAAAAGTCAAGTTAAGTCTCAAATCAAGTTCTTTGCTTCTCCCAACTTCGTTGTTTCATTTACACTTTTCCCCCTAAGTGTAACATCTTTCTCTCTCCTATCCATTAATCCATGTCAACTTTCAAACATCAATACTTCAAACTATGGTTAAAAGTTATTGCTGGGTAAAGCAACTATACATAAACAGCTTCCTAATTAAAAGTGAAATTCTTTAATTTGTATCAAATCATTGTTTTGGGTTTTTAAATAATAATAATTTCAGACCCTATCTCTCTCATTCACCAATGTATCCCTTGAACTTGACAAGCAATTAGAACTCAATAAAAATTTCTTAAATTAATGAATATTTGGGGGCTGGGGTTGTGGCTCAGAGGTAGAGAGCTCACCTAGCATATGTGAAGCACTGGGTTCAAACCTCAGCACCATATAAATATAAAATAAAAACACTGTGTCCACCTATAACTAAAAATCAAATATTTTTTAAGAAGTAATGAATATTTGTGGTTAGTTTGAATGTAGAAAAAAGGCCCTTTCCTGAACAGTCCTATCTTTCAAAAATTGTACATATGCATACCTTTGGGCCTAGAAATTCTACCTATTGGAATTTACATTAAAATCTCACATAAGTGTACTTTATAATTGTAAGACCATCCCATGTAACATTTATAATAAATGAGAAACAACCTGAATGTTCACCAATAATGAGCTAAGCTAGTTCAATAAATGACGGTAAGCAAACATTACGAAGCCATTCAAAAAGATGCGAAACTAATGAGCCAGGTACAGTAGCATACATCTATAATCCTAGTTACTTGCTACTTGAAGGATAAAGCAGGAGTTTAAGGTCAGCATTGGTAATTTAGTGAGACTCTGTCTCAAAGCAAAATATAAAAAGGGCTGGGGATATAGGGTGGGGGTAAAGCATCCCTGGGTTTAATCCCCAGAACAATGTAAAAAGAAAAGGAAAAAAAGGGGGTCTAGGATTGTGGCTCAGTGTTAGAGCACTTGCCCAGTACGTGTGAGGCACTGAGTTCAATAATAAAATATTTGACTCAAAAATCCACACAAAGTGCTGATCAAGATTATCCCTATTACCTAGGGAGTTCATTAAACAAATATAGTCTTACCTGCAACAGGGATATCACTATGTATTCACTTCCAAGTCATTTATAATAATGTTATATAAGACCATTTCAGGTAACAAAATTGAAAATAGCACTACTGTATTTACAATTCTGTCCAAGAAAAAAGTTCTTTCATTACTATTATTTTCTTTCTCTTGTTCTTGAGTCATTTCCCCAGTGATTATCACATAATATAACTTCACCTCCAACGATCATTCATCAAAATTTTATCAAAAGCGTCTGAAAGAATTTAAATAACTTATATTCATTTGCCTTTCTGACCATATTCATATTTACCTCTTTAAACATTTTACTTAATTTAAGCATGATTTTCTCTTTAATGCTACTCCTCTAACTCAAAACATTAATTTACTAAGTGTTCAATTATCTATTTCTTTATTAAGAATCCACCTACTCTATGGATATACTTACCCTACCAGCAAACTAGACACTTCACAGCAAATTGCAAGGCTGAATTCGGAACAGTAGTTTGACACATAATGAAAGTGATCAATGCTACATACTAAAATTCAACTGCCAATTCAATAGCAAAGACCTACCAAAAAAAGGGAGCTGAAATCAATCACAAAAGATTACACCATACAAGAAATTATACTTACATTTCGATGAAACTGTGTAAAAGACTGAATCATGTAGAATCGATGCATGTATACTATAGCTGTGTTGATAGTCAATTGTGAGCTGAAGTATTCAAGTTAAGGTCCAAATCAAGTAGATAGGTAGCATAATTCCCAAAATATAATCTCTCTCCCCCCACAAAAAGACCAGATGGCCAAGCACAGTCCTAAGTGAAAATCATACTTTCCAAATAAAAAGGAGGTGTTGTTTTCTTTTGCCAAAATTACTAACTGCCTATTGACAGCATAATTCCTTCCGCATAAGGGGTATTTAATATAAATTTACTGAATGAACAAACAACAACAAAATAAACTTCTCAGGATGTATGAATCAAGATTTATAACAAAACTAATTTTTAGAACTTTCGGGGGCTAGGGATGTGGCTCAAGTGGTAGCGCGCTCGCCTGGCATGTGTGCGGCCGGGTTCGATCCTCAGCACCACATACAAACAAAGATGTTGTGTCTGCGGGGGGGGGGGGGGGGGGGGGACCCTAAAAAATAAAAAAATAAAAATTCTCTCTCTCTCTCAAAAAAAATTCTAGAACTTTCGGTCATTTACCTTCTACAAATCCTGTAATGATGATCAGATACCTCAGGTCATCTCTTTAAAATGTTTTACTAGGTCTTCCCTAATTTGGCCCCTGGGCATATTTCCACTATCTCTCACCTTTCAATTCCACTTCTCCCTGCATTTTCACCTGGTGATCCTGATGGCTAGAAACACTGTGAAATGAATTGATATTCATTTACTAAAAATAAAACATTTTCAAACACTGCACTTGCCTGCACTCTACCTCTGAGCTATATAGAAAAATTTTTAAGTGCTTTACTTCTAAAGATGTCAGCAGGTCTGGGAATGCAGCACATCAGTAGAGCACTTGCCTACTAGCTTGGGTGAAGACCTAGATTTGATCTCTAGCAGCACAAAAAAATAAAGACCTCAGCAGACAATGTGCTCAGTGTGCAGTATAAAGATGACACAGCCCCACAATGGCAACAACCTAAATACTACAAAAGGAATTTTAAGGATACACTGAAATAGAACTGGGGGGGTTGGGGGTTTAATTCCACAGACTGGATGGTTAGGAAACAAATTGGCAATAAAGAGGACACCTATTTTGAAGCAAACACATCCTTAAGGCACAAACATCAGTCTGCAACAAATTTAAGTGAAAGCTGCATAAACAGAAGCTTCACCAAGAAAAAAAAATTAAAGCAGAGTGAAAATAACTTTAAAACTATATTAGTTTTCTCGGCCACAAAATGAGTAAATTTTCTGACAAATAAAAATAAATTGCCTGATCTTTGAAACATGACGAAAACGAATACTCGCCAGTACCCTGAGCAACTTAAGGGCACAACATTTGGTAAACTAAACATTAGATCCATAGGTCTACATCTCTCCAAACCTAAATTGACTTTTCTAACTTTGAAATTCTATAACACTCTAGCAAACAACTACTATTTGAACGTCTGAATGCTAAGCATTTTGGGGGGCACAGAATCAAATGCAAGAGGTGTCCATTTTACAGGCAAGACAGCCAAGAACTTAACAGGTTATTTGCATAGCTATGAAGTAGGAGGAACGGATTTTGAACCAACGATGGGACCCTGCCTAGTTCAGCTTTGTCCCGAAACTATTTTTTACACACTAAGTTTGGGGGGCAGACGTCAACAGTGAAACTTCTACCAGACTCCTAAGACACAGAAGAAAGGAGAATCTCAAAGTCACGAAACCAGGTCAGAACACAGTGAAGAAGGCCTAAGAAGGATCGGCTAAAACACAAAGCCAGGAAAAGATACGAATTCCCGGCAAGGTTGGTGGCACGGGTGAGCGAGCGGGAAATTGACTCCGCCTCGCTTCCCTCGCATGAACAGCTTCGGTCTGCCCCATCGTGGGCTCTCCCCACTAGACAACCAGCTTCTGCCGACCTTCTTACCCCCTTCCTTCCCCACCAGAGCCTGAGGCCTGAATGCCGGGACAGTGCAGAACCGACTCCAAGGCCGAAGGCCTAGGCCACAAGGATACACGTTAAGACGTTGTCCCATGTCCTGAAGAAGATTGGCCGCCTGCTGGCGATAAGAAAGTTCTTTATCTGGGTCCAGGCCAAAACGACGGGATGGGCTATTTTCCAGCTGTTCTCGAGTAAAATACCACCGTTTGTTGTTGTTCTTCCTCTCTCCCTCCATAGCGCTTCAACTAGAAGGCAGCGGCGGAGGCTGCAAGCACTTCCCAGCGTCACCTCAGGGGCGACACACATCCGCTGTGCGGAGACAACTGCGACGTGACGAACTTCCGCTACGAATCGACCGCCAGGTCTGACAAGCTTCCGCTAAGGAAGCGAAAGTCAAAGCGTCTACTTCCGGAATGGACCTCGCGACATACTGTAGCCAAGTTAACAGCCAGTCGGATACCAGGAGAGACCTTAAGGCGAAGACGCAGGCGCGAATCACGTGACGCTACGGAGGTAGGGTGGAATTATAAATTCTCGTGTGAAAACCACGTCTCTCCCCGCGAGAACGTGGTTGAGCCTTCGCGGCCTGGGCTGAGCTGCCAGGCAACAGTTCGGTGCTGAGAGGCACAGGCTCTCCCGCAGTGTTGCTGCCGCTCTCCCCACGCCCAGAACTTCCCTCTGGGCGAACGTGACGATATGAAATATGGCAGATGGAGAGCTTGGTAGAGAAAATAGGTCAGAAAAATGAAAAACGTAATAGTGGCCCTATAGTATCTCGAACCAATAAGATGAAACCATATAGCAAACACTCTGGGCACGGTGGCGCAGTCCTGTAATCCTAGATACTCTGGAAGCTGAGGCAGAATGGCAAGTTCGATGCCAGGACGGGCAATTGAGTGAAACCCTGCCACAAAAAGGGCTGAGGGTGTTTGTCAGCGTTCGAACACCTTGCTAACATCCTCGAGTCCCTGAATGGAATCCTCAGTACGACAAAAAAAAAAAAAAAGTAGTGATAACTACCAAAAGAATGAGTTTTTTATAAACTTGGATTCAATCCCAGCTTTTCCTCCATCCCTACCATCTTTCGTACAACTATTTGTAAATGTATAGTTTAGTAGCTTCATTTGTATTCACACTTTCATGCAATAGCTCTCTAGAACTACTTTTTCATCTTGCAAAACAAATTGCCAAGCAGCTCGGGAGGCTTAGACAGGAGGATCAGGAGTTCAAAGCCAGTCTCAGCAATTTAGCAAGGCACTTAGCAACTCAGTGAGACCCTGTCTCTAATAAAAATATATTTTTTAAAAAAAGTGCTGGGAATGTGGCTCAGGGGTTAAGCACCCCTGGGTTCAATCCCCAATACCAAAAAAAAAAAAAAAACTGAAACTCCCTTGCACAGCTCCCCATTGCTTTCCTATCAGCCTCTGGCAACTAGCATTCTTCATTCTTTTTGACTCTAACTACTTGGATGCTTCATATAAGTGGAATCATACAGATTTGTCTTTTTTGTGACTGGCTTTTTTTACTTAGTGTAATATCTTCAAAAATCCCAGCTATTCTTTCACCTAGCTCGTGATCTGGAATGTCACCTCGGTTTCTTCAAAAAACACCAACAGGATGTGGGTCAGGCATATAGGAGGTGTTTAGTGCATATTGATTCTCTAAATAATGTTAGCTAATGGTGGTACTGAGGATTCCATACATTGCTCTTAAAGGACAATTGATAAAAATCTTAAACCAGAGGAATTTCTCTTTTCTTCTTTTAAAAATTTACTAATATATGCCAGGGGCAGTGGCGCACACCTGTAATCCCAGAGGCTTGGGACACTGAGACAGGAGGATCTCGAGTTCAAAGCCGCCCTCAGCAAAAGCGAGGTGCTAAGCAACTCAGTGAGACCCTGTCTCTAACTAAAATACAAAATAGGGCTGGAGAAGTGGGTCAGTAGTTGAGTGCCCCTGAGTTCAATCCCCAGTATCCCCCACCCCCAAAAAAATTTTTTAACTAATACAAAGGATACATAGTATGCAACTTAACATAAAATGTATAATCTTTATTATAAATTTCCTATAACCAACTGAATCTCACAAAATGCCTTCAGTTTTGCCAAGCTCTTGAATCACAAGTCAACCTGCAGTTCCATTTAACAAGTGAGTATAGTTTTGGACTATTCACTGCTATTTCCATTTGCATGAATAAGATGGAAATGAAAATGAGACTTGTATAGGAACTTCATTAATTTGCCATCGACTTGAGGAACATCTTTGCTGAATTGTATAATTTTTGAACACTGGAAGAGTTTCAATGTTGCTATTGGACAGTGTAATAGCTATAGATATGATACACTTTTAATATACATTATTAACATTTTCTCAACTTTCTTTTTTAAAAATATTTAGTTGTAGTTGGACACAATACCTTTGTTTTATTTATTTATTTGTTTGTTTTTATGTGGTGCTGAGGATCGAACCCAGGGCCTCACGCATGCTAGGCGAATGCTCTACTGCTGAGCCACAACCCCAGCCCTTTCTCAGGTTTCTTAAGTCTAGACCGTCAACAAAATGAATAAGTCCAGCTTTATCTAACATTGTCAATTTCTGTGGTGTATATTCTCCCACCATGGCTGATTTCAATCTATCAGTATGCAGCATCCCTGAAAATGAAATTGAAGAGAGGTGTATGCATCATCACACAGTAATTCCTCAAGACCAATTCAATAGTTTAGGCTTTCTAGTTTCTTGTCTTGATATGGAAAGAGCTTAGAAATCATCACTCCCAGACTGGGGATGGAGCTCAGTGGTAGAGCACTTGCCTGACATATACTGGGCCCTGGGTTCAATCCCTAGTAACTGAAAAAAATAAATAAATAAATAAAAGTGATCGGGTCCATCCTCACAAGAAAAAAGACAAATTTAACAATCCTTCTTGACTCATTAGAGAATTAAGGTTTTATAGTACAAACCTCATCCCCCAAGATGGAAAAACAGATGAAATCAGAAAAAAAGTTAGAACAGAAAGTCATGACTACTAAGAGCAAAAATTACTATGGGAACCAGTAACTCATAGGACTACTTATAGCATAATTGACTAATTGCTGGCAGCTAAACACAGACTAGCTTGAGAGATTTAAAAAAAAAAAAAACTCTTGGGGGCCCATCCTTAAGTGGTCACTCATGTTTTTATACATTTTACCTGGAGTCTCACTGAAGACTGAAGAAAAAAATCCCTTCATGCTTCCAGTAGGGAGAGGGGAAAGTAGTCATTTTGCAGTATGGCATCCTGTTCTTAACAAAGATATGCTTCTCAAGAAAAAAATTTTAACAGAAACTTGGGTTTTTACCAGATCCTATCTAATGTGGGAAAAAGGAATTACCCAACTGCAGTCTCCTATAACCTTCCTGTTTCACTTCATATTTTCCTTACAACTAGACACACATATGGCAGAAATTTTGGAATTATCCGACTGAGAATTTAAAATAACTATGATTAATATGTTAAAGACCCTAATGGAAAAAGTGGACAACACACAAGAACAGGTGGGTAATGTTAGCAGAGACATGAAAACTAAGAATCAAGCTGGGTATGGTGACACACACCTGTAATACCAGTTGTTAGAAGACATGCATGAGGATGGCAAGTTCAAAACCAACCTGGGCAATTTAGCAAAACCCTGTCTCAAAAATAAAACAAAAGGACTCAGGATATAGAACAGTCGTAGATTCAATTCCCAGTACTGCAAAAAAATAAAAAATAAAATAAAAGGAAAAGGATAAAGAAAGAAAAGAAAAGGCTAGAAATCAACAGAAAACAATGTCTTTGGTGGATTCATCAATAGACTGGAGATGACACAGAAAGAATCAGTTGGCTTGAAAATATGTCAATAGAAACTTCCTAAGCTGAAAAACAAAGAGAATAAAGTATGAAAAAAAAAAGCAGAATATATAGATACAATAAAAGTAAATAAACTCATGATTATAGATAATAGTAAAACAATTAGAAAATGATAAGTTTTTAATATTTGCTACCTTTACTTTTTAATATAACATTAAATTTTAAGTTTAGATCACTCAATTTTTTAATAATGACATTTTTAAAAAGCTTGCAAAATTAATGAAAATTTGACAAGCTCTTGAAAGTCAGCATCAGCTGACACACCACTGATAAAATAAAGATTCATTGGAAATATCATATTTAGATTTAAATACTCTCTGTTAAGTTTCTATTACATGCTGAACCTTGTGGTAAGGAGGTAAGGAGTTTGTATATATTATTTCATTTTTATAACTGGTATCATCATTGCCATTTTTTAAAATTAAAAACTGAGGCTTGATTAATCTATACAAAGGCAGACACTTAGAGTATGACAAAACTAACATTTGAACCCAAGTTATTGTTCTTTCTATTCACTGCTTTCTGAGGCTTACAGTATGAGACTAGGACAAAGAAAAGGATATTGACTCTTTGGTTCTTCCATTTTCCTCCAACTCTATTGTGAACCCAGGAATTCTGTGCCTGATTAGACAAAGGAAGTGTCAATTACAATAATTCTTCAGGACATTGCTATGGTTACCAAACTGCTCCAGGCTGGACATTCCAGAAGAGGACAAGGAGGAACCAAGATGGCCTTCTTCAACTTATATCTATTGGGATATCAACATCCCTTTCGGAACAAAAAAAGAGACATAACTGAAGAAACAAGTAAGGGTAATGTAGAATAGAGGGTTAGAAGGGCCACTTGTTTTCCTAGCCACTTCCACTGGTCAGTTTGTAGCTACTTCCTTTCCTACCTTTAGTTAGAGATTTATCCTATCAACAAGGTCAACACTTGCCCTAATTAAAATTTTGGAGCAAGGACATCCATTACCTTCATTTTTCTGTCATTTAATATCAAATAAATGTATTCTTATTCATTCATTTGCTCATTTAGCCAACATATATTAAGCACACAGTTGTGTGCCAGGCTTTATGTTGCTGACCAGGGTTAAAAGATGAATAAAGAAGGCTTCTACTATTTAATTAGGAAGATAAGTATGCAAACAAAAAATAATATATGATTAAATATGGACTTATGCGACTGCAAAGGAGGAAGTGCCTTATACTTTTGGGTTTGGAATAAGAATATGGGGATCCTTTAAAGAAGACGTCACAGAGGAAATGTTTCTAAACTGAGTGTTAAAAGGATGACTAAAGTTCCTCAAGTAAACAAGAAGGGAATATAGTACAGACAGAAGAACAGAGACCTAGAGAACCATATTAAGTGAATTCCAAGCACTTAGATACAGATGAAGGGTAAAATGGAGAGGTGCTAGGAGGCAGACCTTGAAAACTAGTTATAGGCCAGATAATTGAAGATGCTGTTAACCATGCTAAGCATTTTAACTTTATAGGGGAATGTTGAACTTAGTAAATATTAGATCTGTATTGTACTCACGATGCCTAGCTGTTCCTCATACATAATAGAGGTTTAATAAATATTTATGGGGTGAATGAATAAATGATTTTGAATGACTATAAAAATAGGAAGTTAGGGGAGACTTTGCAGGAGATATGAGAATTTATTTAGGTCTTAAATGATGAATTGTCCAAAAGCACAGAAACTGAGGAAAAGGATCTTCCAGGTAGAATGGGACCATGTGAATGAAAATAAGTGTAGATGGATGCTAAGCAAAAGCTGTACTGGGTAGGAGAAGAGGTGATCAGGAAAGTATAAAAGCACAAAGATTATAAAGGACAATCTATATATTAAACAGTCCTCCAATAGGCACTCTCTGACCTCTTTCTAATTCCACCAAAGTTCTATTCTACTATTCACCTTCCAGGTAAGATTTATACAAAGATCCCAGTGATGGACCCTAGAAATCCCTTAATAACCCTATTCCAACCCTTTCCACTCTTCTTGCCCCCATTCCTTATGGGTCCCAGCATTACACCATGGGGCTGTTTTCAAATAAAGAGGTGCTCTTCTGGACCTCTCTCAGAAATCAAACACTCCCCTTTGGGAAACAGACCAATTTCCCTTGCTCCACCCTCTCCTGGCTGCTGTAACCCTACTACTTTTACTAGATGGGCCTGCATCACCATAAACAAACTGGGATTTTCCTACCCTGTAAATCACTTAAACACTGGTAAGGGCTGAGGGTGTTGCTTGGTGGTACAACACTTGCCTAGCATGTGCAAGGCCCTGGGTTCAATCCCTAGCATCCAAAACAAAAACATAAAAGCTCACTGAAGTCTGGGCCTTTGAATTAATTTCTTTGTAGGTGAGGCAGAGAGGAAGACTTCACTTTATAAAGTCCTCTATGATAGGGAAGTATCCTGATATCACCTGCTTACTCAAGTTTTTTCATTCTGTTGTTGGAGCATCAGAGACAGGAGCCTTGGTCAAATTGGTGGCCTACATAGAATGTGAAGTTAAAGGGACAGTACATCAAATTTGCTATTCCTACTCCCTGCTTATTTCCCTTCCAGAGGGTTAGGCACGGTGGCACACAGCTGTAATCCCAGCTACACAGGAGGCTGATGCAAAATGATCACAAGTTCAAGGCCAACCTCAGCAATTTAGCAAAACCCTCTCTCAAAATTAAAAAGTAAAAAGGTCTGGAGATGTAGCTCAGGGTAGAGTACCCATGAGTTCAATCCCTAGTACTGAAAAAAATAAAAGGACAGAAGATTTTCACTTGATAATTTCTAATTATCAATACTTTTATTGATTCAAGTATTTAATGATAAACAACTATTTACTACATATGTAAGAGGCATATTTATGAGTCCTGACTGGTTTAGATTTATTTTTATCTTTTTTTTATTTAAACTTGGAATTGAACCCAGGGTGCTTTTCCACTAAGCTGCATCCCTAGCCTTTTTATTTTTTATTTTGTGACAGGATCTTTTTATATCATCCTTGAAGGTTAATGCCATCAGGAGGAGGAGGAGGAGGATATGATGTCATTTTAGTAAATTTGAAATGGAAAGGAAAAATCTCATATGGTCAGTCCACCATTTTTCAGAATTTTTTAATGATATAATGTCAAAATTATAGAAAAGTTGTGATGTAAGGCTAATATAAGGAGATTCCCTACACCTTTTAAGCAAATTAGCCAATTAGTAATATTTTTCCACTCTTGAGTCTGGGATATAGTTCAGTGTTGGAACACTTGTCTAGCACATGCATGACCCAAGTTCAATCCCCAGCACCACATACACATGCACACGTACACACACACACACACACACATACACATACCCACACAAGCCACTTTCTTTGTCTTGTCTCTTATCTATTTATCTAATATCTTTCTCAGCTAATTGAGAATAAGTTGCTCATAACCCTTTACTACTAAATATTTCTGTTTGATTTCCTAAGAACAACAACTTATACACAGTACAGGTTTCAATTCAGCAAATCTTAACATAGATACAATATTATCTAACTAGATAGTCCATATTCCAATTTTTGCCAATTGTTCTGTTAATATCATTTAGAGCACATTTTTTCCTTCCATGATGTAGGAAAGGTTCATGTGTTGATAAATTGTTGAATTTAGTGAGCTTGTCTCTTCAGTCTCCTTTAATCTGGAACAGTTTCTCGTTGTTTCATGACACTGACATTTTTGTAATAGCACAGACGAGACATTTTGTGGAATATTCCTTAATTTTGGTTTGTCTGATGTTTCGCATGATTAGATCTGGTTTAAGCATTTTTGCAGGAATAAGTGACAGTGTGTGCTCAGTACACCATATAAGGGCTTATTGTGTTATTTTTAGCCCATTACTGATGATGTTAACTTTGACCACTTAAAGTGATTTGCCAGTTTTCTCCACTGTTGAGTTACCATTTTACTTTTGTAATTAATAATTTCTGATACTTTGAAAAAATGTAAATATCCTATTATTCATCATACTTTCACCCACTAGTTTTAGTATCCATTAATGGTTCTGTGTGAATTAATTATTTCTATGATAGTGGTAAAATGGTGATTTTTCTAATTGTAGTAGACTTTTTTTTTTAAAGAGAGAGAGAGAGAGAGAGAGAGAATTTTAATATTATTTATTTATTTATTTTAGTTTTCGGCGGACACAACATCTTTGTTTGTATGTGGTGCTGAGGATCAAACCTGGGCCACACGCATGTCAGGCGAGAGCGCTACTGCTTCAGCCACATCCCCAGCCCCTGTAGTAGACTTCAACTCAAAATTTACAGGAATGTGGTTTTTGTTTTGTTTGGTTTGGTTGTGTTGTGTTTGTGTGTTTTGGGCTGTGTGGGAGGGGTTGGGAGGATAGAACCCAATGGCACTCTACCACTTCTTTTTATTTTTTATTTTGAGACAGAGTCTCACTATGTTGCCAAGGCTGGCCTCGAAATTCGAATCCTCCTGTCTCAGCCTCCCAAGCATTGTCACCGGTCCTGGCTACAGCAATGTTTTAAGTGACCTACCTTAATTGAAATTTTTTAATATATTTATGTTTTAGTTGTAGTTGGACACAATACCTTTACTTTATTTTTATGTGGTGCTGAGGATCGAACCTAGGGTCTCGCACATGCTAGGCGAGCGCTCTACCACTGAGCCACAACCCCAGCCTCTTCATTGAACTTTTCTAGAACATTCAATTTGGTTTTTGTAGAAACACCTGCTCTTTTTTTTTACACTTTTTATTAGTTTAAATAATATTTCACTAAATTTAAAATGACAATCACAAAGTTAACCTGAGTAAATTGGGTTTTTTTGGAAGGGGGTCACAACAGACTCTTGATAAGCTTGAAGTTCAACTGTGGGAGCAGAAGAATGCAGGTATTCTAGATATAGCTCTCAGCTACAAAGGGAGTATTACAGGTATCTTTAAAATGTTTTCAGAGGAAATGGAGACCATAAATTAATCTGGCAATCCTAATAAATGACGCATTCTTAGGAGAATTTCTACTGCATATAATTTTGAGCTGTTCATATTTAATGTTCTGAAATACTTCAAGAAACTAGGATTTCTTGCCAAGTGTGGTGGCGCATGCCTGCAACCCCAGTGACTCTAAAGGCTGAGGCAGAAAGATTGAAGTTCAAGGCCAGCCTTAGCAACTTAAATAGGCCTTAGGTAACTTAGCAAAACCCTGTCTCAAAATAAAAAATAAAGGGCTGTGGATGTAGCTCAGAGGTAAAGTGTTCCTGCATTGAATCCCCAGTACCAAAAAAAAAAAAAAAAAAGGAGAGAGGAAGAGAAAAAAAAAAAAACTAGGAGACAACTTAAATGACCTTGCCCTTAACCAGGTTGGAGGCTACCAAATCCAATATGAGGGACAGGAGAGGAAAAAATGTCAAATCCCTTTCCAGACAGTTCAGATTTTCAGAATTCCTTGTGGTAAAATATCACCCAAATATATTGACAAGCTGTCCCAAAATTCAGATGGACCCAGAATAGACAAGGCAATCTTGAGCAAAGACACTTCTTAATTTAAAATATTCTACAAAGCTAACGTAATCAAGACAGTAGGGAACTGTCATAAGGATTAACATAGATCAATAGAATAGAGTTTAGAATCCGGAAGTAAACCCTACACTTTATGGTCAATTGACTTTCAATGAGCATGCCAACACTTCAGTGATGAATAGACTTTTCAGCAAATGGTTCTGAAAAAACTGAATATTACCATGCAAAAGAGTGAAATTATACCTCCATATCACACTATGTACTAAAATTAACTCAAAATGGATATT